GCTCTCATAGAGTCATCAAATCTCTTGCTCCAGTGGGTCAATATCCAAACAATAATGATGAAAGGTTTATGCTTTTGTGAGATGGCTGTGCCATGAAGACCCACAAAAGACAACGCTGAAGCCGTTGACAACCTGGATGTGCATTATACTCCTTGAGTTGAAGGACACCACTGGCTTCTTTTATGTATCGGAATAGACAGTCCTTAATGAACATACATAATCTGTCTTACAGTACCTGAACCACATTATTTCCCCTTCCGCCGAGCACTTTCAGCAATGGACCACCTCCGTGGTGTAGTCGTTAGAGCGTCTGTTTGGAGAGCGGAAGGTCGCGGGTTTGATCCCCGACCGCGTCATACCAAAAGACGTTAAAATATGGTACTTGTTGGTCCCTGCCTGGCGCTCGGCATTAATGGGTACAACAAGGACTGGTGGGCTTGGAGTCAGTATAATGTGTCTGAATGGGGTATTCATGCTTCACTGCGGCATGGTATCTCAGTGGGCTAGCACTATAAAACCAGCTTCAGCTAGTACAAGCAGCCGCACATACACATACACACGCATGCACGTTGTCATATGAGCGAAATCTTCTCAAGTACGACGTTAAACCCAATTTCACCTCACCTCACCTCACTTTCAGCAATGCTTAAGCCCTAAATGAAGCAAGTCTAGATTTCATCATGTTCTGAATCTCTCAACTCACTTTGGCTCCTTTTCAATTCAAAGTGTAATTATTTCTTTCTATTGAAATTATATATATTCAGAGACTACGCAATAGTCTAAGACATCCTCTATGTCAGGTGTGTACCTGGAATGTCATTGGATGATATTGGTACCAATAATGACCTGTTATCTAGATATAATCACAACCTAGAATATTTTCACTTTAGGCAGTGACAGATGATGGACCTTGATCCATCACTGATCCTGAAAACAAACAGGAATCCAAGGAGAGGAAACACTATAGGTCTAAACCAAAACATTTACAGCAATCAGGTCCACTCAAGTTATAGCGACCAACTTTTGTGACAGCAAAGGTTGACGTTGGGTTTTCCATCTCCGTTATATCCTGACATGACATGGTATAACTTGAGCACTGTTAAAGACGTTAAACTACACTCCCTCACTCACTTGTAACCATTTGATATGAATACTATATTGCAATCATTTAACTACTTTTATTTCAATAACTTTTGTAAATACTTTATCATGCATATAGCATAGTTATGTTACTTAAATTGTCACCTGATTGGCAAAATTCTAACGGCTGCAATATATGTTGGTATTTAATAGAACATATTATTTGATGAAAAGATTGCTATACAATAAATTATGTTATAACAAACACTCTTACAATGAACAGTTGTTTTCATCTTGACTACTTGCTGTAAATGCATATAAAACCAGACCAATTTTATTTCTTATTTTACAGATTTTTGTCCTCAGAAAACCTAAAGGCAGGAGGAAAAAAAAAAAAAATAAAATCACCAGTCAAAGTAATATTCCTTCTAAATACTCAAAGTATATTACTTTTGGCAATTTATGAAGTATATATGGGGCAAAAAACAATCTAAAAAAACTTTTTCTGTAAGTTTACATTTTTGGCCAATAAAAACTTTAGGATTTTATTTTTTGAGCGGGGAAAATTAATTATTTATTTTTTTCTTATACTTGAAAATATATGACAGGCGGATCCGTAAAACAAGAAATAAAATTGGTCTGGCCTAAAGAACTAAAATCAGTCTTCCCTTTCAGTTTGTTGTAACTGTAGTTTACTATATTTGAATGATATGAACTTATCCATGTTGTTTCTTTTCTAGCATTAGGCCAGACCAATTATATTTTTTCAAAAATCAAATTTTTTTCTTCAGAAAACCTAAAGGCAGGAGGGAAAGAAAATAAAAATAAAAATCACCATTCTGAGTAATATTCCTTCTAAATACTAAAAATATTTTACTTTTGGCAGTTAATGAAGTGTATATGGGGCCAAAAACAACCTGAAAAAGATTTTCGTTTCAGTTTACGTTTTTGCCCAATAAAAACATTAGGATTTTATTTTTAAGCATGAAAATTTAATTTATTTTTTTTTCTTATTCTTAAAAAAATATGATGGCGGATCCGTAAAACAAGAAATAAAATTGGCCTGGCCTTATGAAACTTTTGCTATGTTTAAGGATTGGAATTTAATGTACTGTAGGCGACTCCCTTATTGAAGTGATAAATGATGATGATTATGACAAATCAATGGCTAAGTACTCCTGTCATTCGGGTTGTTGGTCCGACTGTGTTTATAATCGGTAGGCCAGGGTAAGTGTGACTTGGACCAGTGACTCAGCCTGTGAGTGTAGATGGCACAGTGCCATTGGCCAGCCCGGTCAGTCACAGGTCTTATCACAAGCTGCCCCTATTTCATGCGTACTTCTTTATTCTTTCAATGAAGGAATTCGTAAAGTGGGCTGTATATTTGAACTTGTGATAAGACCATGTACATAAGTCTGATTTTGAGATTGAGGAGAGTGTTTGTACATGGACCCTTTTATTAATGATTACACTCCAGTAAGATGCTGAAAGTTGTACGGTTTGTTGAATGGTCCCGGTAATGACTTTACTCTCTGGAATGTTGTGCTGCAGAGAAGTAATGCCTACCCAATTTGCTTTGAAGAAAATGTAGCCATTGTAAGAACTGAATCCAGTATGGATCAGGGTTGTATGCGATGCTCAAATGTGCATCCAGTACACACAAAACAATTCACTGCGCCCAGCCATTGCACAATAGATTCACTGACATCCATGACTTTCCTAAGTGTTTGGATCAGAAGTGGTTGTCCACCGAGAGCGGAAGGTCGCTGGTTCGATCCCCGACCGCGCCATCAAATGTGCGTTAAAATATGGTACTTGTTGGTCCCTGCCTGGCGCTTGGCATTAATGGGTACAACAAGGACTGGTCGGCTCGGAGTCAGTATAATGTGTCTGAGGGGGGTATTCATGCTTCACTGCGGCATGGTATCTCAGTGAGCTACACCAAAACCATCGCCTGGGCTAGTTCATTACACATACACATCGTATGCATGCACGCCGATCATATGAGCGAAATATTCTCAAGCACGACGTTAAACCAAATTTCACCTCACCTCCTAAGTGTTTGATTGTTTCTGTCCAGGCAGGTAGTTGCATCATTTCATCCATCAGTCCACGTGATCAATGATTCATTCCAGGCTCTGTAGAAATTATCAAAACATACAGTTCTCTAAACCGTTACTTCACAAGACCCACGTATTTCCTACAAGGACCCTTAAAACTAATAATTAGGGGTCCCCAGGACCCCCATGTTTGTAAGTCGAGGGTAAACCCTGATGGATCATGCAGATTATGTTCTCACAATATTAGATGATACCTCCAAAGTCAGGAAATTTCTTCTACAAAATATGCACTGGTCATATTGCCTGCATTTTAAAGGTGTTATTTCAAAGAAGGAATCCACTAGAAGATCCTCATGTATTGTCCACTATAGAGATCATACAGTGAAGGAGCGTCCCCGACAGTTCACTAAGAACTTACACTGGGAGGGAGTGTTCCCCATACATTTCCCTGTGTGGGTTACACAACACTAAGGCATTTGGTGTAGCCAGGTAATCAGATTGGAAGGGATCTAAGCATGGTATCCTAAGCTGGATTCAAGTTTGCTTATACAAGAATTGCAAAACATTCAACAGAGGCCCAGATAAAGCCAAGTGTAAGACAAATTGAAAGAAGCCTAATTCAAGAGTCTCCACGAGGATATCAATAAGTTCCCTTGTCAGTTTGACACAACTAGTGTGGGCACTGTGTAGTACATGTAATGTGCTGTGCAGCTTATCATATATTTGTTTTTATTCTTATCTGCATGCTTGTTTATTTGAATATTGATGCATAGTCATGGGGTCAGCTATTAAATGATTGGTCAAACATGCAAACATATATGAATAAACGATAATGATAGAATTGAATGACATTTTGCAGCATTTATATATACAGTCCAACCCGGTTGTGTCGAACTCGTCCATACCAAGGAACAGTTCGACTTATCTGAGTGTTCGACACATCCGTCAGCATAGAAATAATGATAAATATAAGGAAATCGACAGGGACCGAGATGAGTTTGACACAACCAAGAATTTGTGTCAACCGAGTTTGAGACATTGAGGTTCGACTGTAGTTCAATGTCAGAGAATACCAGTCTGGAAACAGATCTTTGGCATAACATGACAAAAGACTGTACAGCAGTGAATAGTCTTTGATTGGATCACTGAAAGTCAATGATGACACTAGATCTTCGCCTAACTGCGATTGACACAATTTGCATAAAAAGGTCTTTTTATGCTATGGATTTGCTGTTTTAGGAATTTTGCATTGCATAGTCACATGAATGTAAGTATACATGAATCAGGGCAGCATTCTGCAGGACGAGTGAAATAGGTGAGCTCCAGAACTACATCATGTGCATTGTTTCCAGACAGTTTCTTTCGACAAATGCTGAAATGAACGTTTCCATTCTGACTGTACTTACTAAGAGTGAGTGAGTGAGTTTAGTTTTTAATTAATGGAGAAACAAATAAGTACTGACAACGTCAAAAGTTATGAAACACATAACTAAAAGTTGTAAACATAAATTTCCACACGAAGGCTTCAGTAAATTTGATAATCTCAGACAAGGCATCTTGTGTGCATCTAATTAAAGTTTGATTTAAAAATCTTTAAAACTAGTATGTACATGTATTATCAATTCCTATGAAATCATAGTTTATGAGAATGAGTGAGTGAGTATGGTTTTATGCCACTTTTAGGAATATTCCAGCAATATCACGGCGGGGGAAACCAGAAATGGGCTTTACACATTGTACCCATGTGGGGAATCAAACCGGGTCTTCGGTGTGACGAGCCAACGCTTTAACCACTAGGCTACCCCACCGCTCCAGTTTATTAAAGACTGTTAGTTGTTGATTAGCAATATGTAACACGATATGGGTACGTGAAGATCACATGATTAACGTGTGTGTAGTCTGATTATCTTTGCTTACATGGCAATGTGGTCAGTGAGGCATGACATTCTGGTGGTCAGATAACTGAAGTTGTGTGCAGACCTGTCTCTGTCCAAGTATAGATATATATATAGAGGTTGTAATGATACACATTTCTACGATGTTGACGATATGATGGTAACTCAGTATGAACATTGGGATTTGATACGTGATAATCCATTGTTAAATGTGGGTTAAATACATTTAGAAATAGTCTATTCATATCAACATGGGACACCAAGAATGGGATTCAAACCTATCCATTACTTACATGGAGTAGCAAGGAAAGAAACCTTTCAAAATTTCCCACTTCACCACAGGACCAGTGAGTGGACAATAATTAGTGGTCCTGTCTGTACTTCACTGATTAAAAATAACATTTGTAAATTTACTTAACAGTCAATACAAAATTCACTGGCCACCAAGACCACTGCAAACGTATCATTTAGTGATCCTGATGAATTTTTACTAGCCAGGGACCACAGAACCAGCGTAGAGTTTGCTGAACATGGGTCTTTGGTAGCACAGTGAACACTGGCTCCACTTGGCTACCACTCACCCTAAGTGAAGAGAGGCTCAAACATTATATGTATAAGTAAAATTAACAAAGTCTTGTATCCTGTGCATTTACTGTATTTCCTAAATTAAGTTTTTCCTAGAGTAAAAACCTGGTCACAATTAAATGCTAACCCTCATTTTCTTTGCAATAATATGTTTAGGAAAAGAGTATTTAAAAGTAATCTTCGCACTTTCATCTAATCAAATGTTTTGAGGGGGTTTAATGGGGGTATTTATTTTTGCTGAGCTATCACGGTAATCATGGGTAGTTACATTTGTCTGCGTGAAACAGCTTAGTAGCTTAATTGTTTTATGTATAATTTGTGAAACCTTGTAATATGTATCATTTGTGCTGGAATGACATGTGACCAGCTCTCTCACAGATACTCACAAAAGTCCATATTTTACAGAATGAAGAACTGGAAAACTCTCAGTGAGATTTTTAAAGAAAGTCTAAATAGGTTAATTTCAACAGAATTACACATACACTTGCAAAAATGTACATCTTGACATATATACAGTTGTAATGTAGGACTGGGCCATGACGTGTGTGTGTACAGGGGTGACTTGGTGAAACTGATTAATCACCTGTGCATATGCCCTACATGTGTTGTTAACACCTGTATCATGTATATGCTGATGTATATACTCAACTACTGTGGAATAAACATTCAGTAGTGACCTCTGTGAAGAAGGTGGAATGAACCTTGCAATGTTGAGTTCTAAACCTCTCACAGCTACACTACTCCACTTTCGATAAGGATATTTTTTATCTCTCCAGCATACATAAACTGATTCTCGTAAAGTGTCACATGTGTATTTATCAACAGAATGATGTTTTCGATTATGTCTGTCAAAGGTTGTGTTGTATGTTATTTTTGTATAGTATTCTGCAATCACGGAACAGTAAATGACAAAACTGTTTGAGAAGGAAGAAGACAGCTTTCTTTGACTTTGTTGCTGCATAGATTTTGATTTTCTTTTGAAATTTTGAATTTCATAACCTCGGCAACAGGTATATTCTGAAACTGCCAGGTAACTATGAGGAAAAAGTGGTTGTTATAAATCTTATTCCATGGTGATCTAGTAACCAATCAGCTGTTTATATGATTGGCACGTCATTATGACCTGAAACTGTATCAACTAGACAACTTACTCAAAACTAGTTAAGGAACACCCACAAATGGAAGGCTGCATGTTGCAATACCAACCAGCCTTGATAGATTTACTATAGTCAGAAAAAAATGAAGTTTCCTTTGAGTGTTATACATTTGTATACTTATAAACATTGGACATGAAGCTAACAAGGAGTTATCTGCTTCAGGTGTACCAGGATCTGGGGACAGAGGTGCTGCAGGCTGCCTGGAAGGATACAATGCCTGTCTGTTTGCATATGGCCAGACAGGAACAGGCAAGACTTACACCATGATGGGAAACATGGTAAGGTCATGTCTTATAATAATTACATGCAATCAGTGATTTTGTTCGTCATCATGATGATCTGATTGAGATCGAGTTTGTCCTTTGATATGTCAGCTTCATTTGCTTAGTTTACATGCATGGTAGCACTTCAGATGGTTGTCTTGAAAAAAACCTCTAGAAAATTGTGTCAAAGTTGAAGGGATTTGCATAAATATCTGTGGTACACTTGAATAATGAATCACTATGATGAATGGGTGTTAGATGTGCGATATTCTGGCAAAAAGATTTTCAAACTTGGTTTACAAGTCAACTCAAAAAAATTGAAAAAAATGGAAATGGAAGAGCTGTGGGGTTCATGTATTCCAAAATTTGTAAAATGTTAAAAATGAACCCTAATTGACTGACCCTATCAGTATCAACAGATTGCTGCTGCAGTGTGCTGAATGTTGTGAAGAGACAGGACATTTCAGAAAGTGTACATCATATTGTTGTAATAAACATGTTAAGCATCCAATCTCGGCTACCATATCTTGTTTCATCCCTTTTCCTACCACCCCTACCACTTCAACATTTTAAGAAAATCATCCCCCCAAAATTGAAAGAAATTTATTTCCTCTCTCCTCCCCCTTCCCCCCCTACTGACCTGAATTTGGGGGCCAGAGATCTGTAATCCAAGACAATGAAAGGAAAGGTCTGGCTTAATGTGGTTTGCTGGCAGATAATCATGTGATTGTTTTCTGGTGTATTCATGTAAGTGAGTGAATTTAGTTTTACGCCACACTCAACAATATTCTAGCTATATGGCGGCGGTCTGTAAATAATCGAGTCTGGACCAGATAATCCAGTGATCAACAGCATGAGCATCGATCTGCGCAATCGGGAACCAATGACATGTTTCAACCAAGTAAGCAAGCCAGACCACCCGATCCCGTTAGTCACCTCTTACGACAAGCATGGGTTACTGAAGGTTCATTCTAAGCCCGGACCTTCACGGGTTGTATTCATGTAAATATTTGGTAGCAACTCATTTGAATTCAATAATTATGACAAGAACTGTACAAATGAACATATTTTATATTACAGAGTGAAGAAGGAGTGATACCAAGGATAGGAGATGTAAGTTGTTCTTTGTTCTTACCTAGATCATATATGTTTAGTAGTATCCGATGCCAAGTGAGTGTGATGTGTGACCAGCCCAGTCTAGGAATCTAAACTCACTGCCCCCTTGAAGGCAAAGATACTGCCTTTTTGGTTGAAATTGAGATTTTTCAAAAGTTTTTATTTTCTTATTTCAAGAGGTATTTTTGCATTGTATAAATGCAATAGCCCCCAAGTAAGCCTCTTATTGGTTCTTTTATCTGTGAATTACAAGTCATCTCAGTTAAGCATCACGTATGTCATGCCTAGACATACAGGAATAAGGATCCCTTTTATCCCCATTTGGGAATTTTACAGCCACTTGCTGCAGTGTTCCACCTGATTTCAGTGTCGGAACAGGTCACGATAATCCTTGTATGTGTATATAACTCATCACTATTGCATCTTGAATGAATTAACTTACTGCCTAATCAGTGTAAACCTGGATCATGTACTGGCAAATGAATTCATAGGCTTTGTTGTCAGTAGCCACTGCAGGTATTAGGTATGGCTTCAGTTGCCACTGCAGGTATTAGGTATGGCTTCAGTAGCCATTACCATCATCAGTCACGGGCAGTAGTGTGAGATCCAACTGCTTAAGTCAGCTATAGCAGCAACAGCCAATGCAGGTGCTAGCTATGACAGGCTGAAGGAATACTTGAATATACCCAGAGTGCATGTGACATGACTGAACAAGTTGTGGGGGTGAACATGGACCTTATGACTTCTACCTTATAGCAGATGCAAGTCATTTGTTGGTACACACTTTCCCGGAAATACTCACGTCACACATGAGGATTTTTCAGTACACAAACTATATAGTTAAGACCCAGACAAAGACAGCTGGGGTCTGTAGATCTGTACCGTTCCATTGCTTGAGTGACTCACTATAGCTGCCTCACGTCAGTCCGTTATAAATGGCTTCAAAATGACAAGCAAATAAAGCTTATCCAATGTGTGAAAATAGTGAATAGAGTCAGATAGGGGGCCTGGGTTGCACCTTAGGTCCAGTTGATTGCATGGGTTTATCACAGTGTCAACACTGTCGCAGCTAAATAGCCAGGGCAGGCTTTGAGCTATTGCTTTTACAAAGCATTAAGCTATTGCTTGTACAAAGCATTACTTATTACGCTGATTATAATGACACAAACTGTATACCAAAGATAACTATCAGAACTCTGTTATGCGAGTGTTTGGATGCTTGAGGAAATGCTGTCAGTCACTCCTGAACCCTCATATTGAGAGTGTGTTGTGTCAAATGATGGTGTTGGGGTACTTGGCCCATGTTCACAAAGTGGTTGTAACACTACGTCTGTCGTAAGTGATGAACTATAACATAGGCTTACGACAGGTGAAGTGTTACGATTGCTTTGTGGAATGAATGCCTGGTCACCTTGGTCTATACTGTGTGGCCATTCCCAGCTCAGACCACTGATATTAGATACTGTGACAAAATGTTTGAATTATTCAAATTTGTAGTTTAAATATGGTAATGTTACCTAAGTAAATTTGGAACAAATAATTTTCACTGGTAAATGAAACTACAAAACAAAACATTAAAACATATTTGTTATTTCATATTATACTCGGATACACATACATGTGTGTGGTATTTTGTCACATGTGGGGGCGGTGGGGTAGCCTAGTGGTTAAAGCATTTGCTCGTCATGTGCAAAGATCTGGGTTTGATTCCCCACATGGGTAAATGTGTGGAGCCCATTTCTAGTGTCCCCTGTCGTGATGTTGCTGGAATATTGCTGAATATACTCACTCACTCAGTCACATGTGTGTAATGTATAACAATGTGTTGTGTATTGTGTTTACTCACATGCAGGTGTGTTGTGTATTGTGTTCAGTCACATGCAGGTGTGTTGTGTATTGTGTTTAGTCACATGCAGGTGTGTTGTGTATTGTGTTCAGTCACATGCAGGTGTGTTGTGTATTGTGTTCAGTCACTTGCAGGTGTGTTGTGTATTGTGTTTACTCACATGCAGGTGTGTTGTGTATTGTGTTTACTCACATGCAGGTGTGTTGTGTATTGTGTTCAGTCACATGCAGGTGTGTTGTGTATTGTGTTCAGTCACATGCAGGTGTGTTGTGTATTGTGTTTACTCACATGCAGGTGTGTTGTGTATTGTGTTCAGTACTCACATGCAGGTGTGTTGTGTAGTCACATACAGGTGTGTGTACAGTCACATGCAGGTGTGTTGTGTATTGTGTTTACTCACATGCAGGTTGTGTTGTGTATGTATTGTGTTCAGTCACATGCAGGTGTGTTGTGCATTGTGTGTCACAGCGTGTTTACTCACATGCAGGTGTGTTGTGTATTGTGTTCAGTCACATGCAGGTGTGTTGTGTATTGTGTTTGTGCAGTCACATGCAGGTGTGTTGTGTATTGTGTTCAGTCACATGCAGGTGTGTTGTGTATTGTGTTTACTCACATGCAGGTGTGTTGTGTATTGTGTTCAGTCACATGCAGGTGTGTTGTGTATTGTGTTCAGTCACATGCAGGTGTGTATTGTGTTCAGTCACATGCAGGTGTGTTGTGTATTTCAGGGCCTGTTCAGTCACATACCTGTGCATTATGTATTTCAGGGCCTATTCAGTCACATACATGTCCAAGGGGAGACCAATGAGCAGAGAAGTAGTCACAGAGTTGATGTCAGGTAGGTCTAATAAAATTCCTCCTTAAATTACATGCCATAACATTTTTAGACCCCTGCACAACAATTGCACAAGAGTCTCATAGGAATATCTGTTCTATTTCTCAATGGATATTCTTCAAATTTTAAATCAAATCACATAGACATTACTGGCTTAATGCAAAGGTTTTGTCCACAATACTTAGAAAATGACTGTCAGGTTCTGTGGACTAGTTATTGTCATCTCAACATGGAAGGAGTTGGTATGGCACATTCCCCTTTGTCTGCACCTATCCAAATAATTTTGACCACTTCTGCCACTAAAGGGAAACTTAAGAGATTAAAACATTAGGAAGATATCTACTCGCATAAGCCTCAGTAATTTCTGTATGCTTCGGGAACACTGGAACCTCTTCTCCTGGGCGATGCACAAACGTTTCTTCAAAACAAAACTCAGTCATTTAGTGGCAGATCAATTGCGTCGCCAGCGCCCTCGTTGAGGACAAAATATCCATTAAATGTCTTGTGTGTCACATCCACACATTTTGTGACCCCACATTTGCTTGTATTAGTCAAGTTATGCAAGTGTTGGGAAGGCATATCCCCAAGAAACAGGGATCGGGATCACCATATTGGATCTAAGTCGATGTCACACGTGTTCTGATTGGATAGAGAGAAGAGAGATAATTCATGTTGCGATCTTTTGCCGCTAGGGGATTTTCCGTATTAGAAGATGTGACTTGAGTAACCTCTGTGGGAAGAGAATGAATATTTTGATACTTTACAAGAATATTTGATGTCGTGACAATTTCTTGTGAATATTTTATTGAGATCATACTGAAATACCTCTATTTCGGATTTGCTAAGCTACCTTGAGATCTACAATGAGCGGGTGAGAGACCTACTGTTGACACCAGCGGTGGGACAGATCGAGCGCCACACCCTCAAGGTCAGGGAGCACCCCAAGGAAGGACCTTATGTCGAGGGTAAGTGCAGTCAAGAAAATTTCACATCTGATAGTAACAGAACATGAGACTTTTTAGGTGCACTTTGGATAAGTGAAAGTCTAATGTGTGATGCATTATAACTGAAATGTTTTGAACATGAGGAATCTAAATTTGTACTAAAATGCTGATTATGCTGACATCAAAGTAAACCACCTTGAAAAGTATCAAGTATTTTCAGACATTTTGTCATTGCCATAAACGTGAGAAATCTATTCTAAAAGCAGATTCCATTGTATCAGCCCACTATATCAAAACTAGGACTGTAACGATGCATCAAACTATCAGATTCAGATTCTTTATTCTCCATAGGACCACCAAAGGTGGTATAAGAGTGAATTACAAGGTATAATAATACAGTATGATCTGCAAGATGGCAGTACATATAATGGGTACAAGAAACATGATAGTGAGAGGTTATGACACTCGTGTTGCAATAATATTTATAAATGTTGCAAGGGATTTCAGTTCCTTTCTTTTACTGGATGAATAATTTGAAAGAATGGAGGCTGGCATTTTTGGTATATTTAATTGGTATAAGATTTTTTCTATGACTTTCAAGTGATGTACATCGAAAATGTAATGGATTGCAATTGTTGAATCTCCAATAGCAATTAATCGATGATAGAAACGAAAAACTATTGATGCATCAATAGTATGTGTGACTATCGATAGTTTAGTAATTGACTTTCATTGATAAATGTGCTGTGCAAAATATTTATTAAATATATATGTTTTGTATTTTCTTATTGTTTGGGTGCAGACTTGCAGTTTCATTGAGTTTATGTTTAAACTGTTTACTTGATCTGAGTTTCAAGTTTCTTGTCAGTTATTAAAAGAGACTGAAACTATTTTAACTTGTTTCTATTTTAAATAAACTATACATTCATTTGGGAAATGACTTCAAATGAGACAATGCAAGGAGAAATAACTATTGCAATACAGAGCTCCAGATAAGATTTAGCTCATGTGGGTACTGTACCCACTGTATTTTTTTGGAGTGGGTATTATGAATGTTGAGTGGGTATTTCATTTTCCGTTACCCACTGCTTCAAATACTAGTATTTCAAATCACCTGTGCGTATATGTCATTGAGTAAGTTTACTAAGCAGGTATGTTCTGCCTTATGTCATACCTAATCAAAACCAACTTAAATGTAAATGAAATGATTTCATGAAAAATCACTCATCCTGTACTGACAGTACAACACTAGTCCTATACTAACAGTACAACTTGATAGCAATCAATGTCTTTTTAATTACGCAAGCGAATTTTATAAATATATTCCGTACGCATTTGTTTTAAACTTTTTGAGTATCTACCTTTTTAAATGCGTAATTGGTATGCAACAATTATTTTTCAATGCGTAATTCTATGCGTATTTTACCCGGATACACAGCTTATCTGGGCCTCTGGCAATAGTATTGCAATAGTTGGTCGTAATAGACAATCACTATCGCAATAGTTGTTTCCCCCTCAATAATCACCCCTAATCAAAACCCCTTGTTTATCAGTCGCTGTCAAATAGTGATGATACCAAGTGAAAGTAAACGTATAATGCCCCACAACTTTGCCATTTTACAGATAATACTGTTTTTTCATATCATTTTTAAACCTTCCTAGTATCATCAGTTGACATACATTATCTTGAAAGTACGCCAAAATATTGGTTCGGTATCAAGAAAGGTGTCCTCTGATGTAATCTCATTATTGTTCACACAACTGAGATGATTTTAGAAGAATATGAATTTAAAAGTGAAACATTTAATATTATTTTGTAGATCTATCACAGCATTCTGTGATGGACGGGGAGTCCTTTCAAAGTTTACTCCTGAGGGGCAACGAGAACCGGACAACAGCAGCCACCCACATGCATGAACACAGCAGCCGGAGCCATGCCATCCTCACGATCGTTTATACTCAGGTATATACTCTAAGGAATTCTGGGATAGAATTGGTCATGCTTTCGACTGCGACTGGATAGAATTTGTCAACAGCACCCATGCTTCCAACGAACAGGATTGGATGGTCAGGCTTGCGGACTTGGGTGATGCATGTCATTGTGTCACAATTGCCTAACTTCGATGCTTATGATCTCAATCACTGCATTGTCTGGTCCAGATTTGATTATTTATAGGTCACTGTCGTATGACTGGAATATTACTGATTGCGACATTGAACAACTTACAAAACCAAATAGTACCTCCTACAGAGTCTGATAATCATGTTTTTATGTTTCATATGAACAAACAAGTCATGTGAAAATTCTGTATGTATCCGTACTGTAGTGTTGGGGTAGCCTAGTGGTTAAAGCACTCACTCGTCAAGACCTGGGTTCAATTCTTCATGTGTATACAATGTATGAAGCCCATTGCCAGTGTCCACCACCATGATGTTGCTGGAATAAAGCTAAAACCATCTTTAAGTCCAACTCACTGACTCATTGCTTGTGATCCATTGTAGGACAAGCTGGAGGAAGGCCTGCCTCATGAGATCATCAGCAAGATCCACCTTGTTGACCTCGCAGGAAGGTAGGTTTTCAGGTGATAGTGTACAGGTGATAGTAACCTTGTTTACATCTGTCTAATAATACATTGTAGCAGGCTTACCCAGTTATGCTAGAACTGAATACAACATTAGGCTACATTAGGTATATTTTTTATGCAAATCGGGGTATATTGTCTTAGTGACATGCTCTGTTGGTGCTTTCAGTCAAAGATTTGTGCTGACTTTCAGTCGATGCTTTCAGCCAAATGCTGTGTTTACAGTTGATGCTTTGTGTTTACTTTCAGTTGATGTTTTATGTTTACATACAGTTGATGCTTGTGTTTATAGTGAGAGAGCTAACCCATCCTACAGTTCTGAGCACAAGATGCAGCTGAAAGAAGGTTCAAACATCAACAAATCACTAGTCACACTGGGCAATGTCATCAAGACCCTTGGTATGATATGTTTGATAGACACTGTTCATGACTAAGTAGCTGAAACGATCAGACTAGCAGGAATTGTCTCCCCTTAATTGATTCTCTGTTCAAATGGTATTGTTTTATTATTATGAAGGATGTTATAACTAACATGAGTTGTCTCCCTTGAATGTATTTACTGCTGTTTCAGTGGTTATTGTTTTATCATTAGGGATGTTAAACTAAAATGAGTTGTCTCCTTGAATGTATTTACTTCTGTACAGGTTACACAACACCAAATGTTTTCCCATAGACTTCTATAGTAACCTTATATTTTTTTAAAAATTATCCAGGCTATCAACAGCCATTCCATGTACACATGGGTACAGTCAGGCCTTTAAACTACAATAAAACACAATTTCTGGCCAAATTGTCTGGCTCATTTTCCGAGCACAGGAAGCGGAATACATCAACCCCAGTTCCGCACCAAATGTCACCTACTGGAAAATATCTGTACACAGAATAAACATAAGACATGGTGATAAAAATGACAGCACTAAATACTTAAAATTGTGGTCAGTTTTAATTACTGGATGGATGTGCTTTTAAAAAGCATAAACATCTTACACTATTTCATCCAATCACAGCTGTCACAAGTCTCTGTCTCTTCAGTTGTTTTCATACGGTGCTCGCTCAGGGAGCATGTGATTCTGATTTAGTGTAGTAGAACCTCAAATGGCATTGTTTTATCATTATATTAGAAATAATGACAAGCATGAGTTGTCTCCCTGGATTTGATTATTCTTTGATAATTGGTTCTCGTTATTATACATGATTTAAATATCACATATGTTATTCTGTAGGTTCTTCATTAGGTTACTCTGCTCACATGCTGCCAAATTTGAGAATGCTTAGCTCTTTAGTCAAAAGTGTAATGTTTAAAGATCTGACTTAATGCGTGTGACTATTCACAGCAGAGAAAGTCCTGTAATCATAGAGTCAAGATTTTTTATGTTTAGTCAAAAGTTAGCTTAAAAATTAACTTAATATTTGTGACTGTTTTCAGCTGAGAAATCCCTGTTGTCATGGAGCCTTGACAACATGGGTTCCTCCCAGAGTTTCCAAAGCATGAGTGGGGGAGAGAGCATGTCCAGCCTGCCGTCCAGTCCGCGGAGACAGCGCTCACTGTACATCCCAGTACAGAGACTCGATCCTCACATGGCTCCTGAAGGACAGTCTGGGGGGCAACTCCAAGACCATCATGATTGCCAGTAGGTCATGCTTTTACGGATTTCTCTCCTGCCTCACTGGATATGATAATAGAGCAGAACTGGTTATAACAAAATCAAGTGTAGGTACAGGTACCAGATGCCTACCAGCCATATTCTTTAGTGTCACATGCACTTCTATTGTAGGGAAGCACGTGGTATAAAATTCGAAAAAATAGGGGAGCATCAAAATATAAAATAACCATAAAAATCAGAATATTTGGGACGACTTATTATTTGGGTTAGTAAAACCAACCAACGATTTTGAAAATGAAAGGTATCACAAATAAAATCACAAATAAAAACATATGCATCTTCGAAGAAACAGAGCTTTGGAATTCTTGGAGTTGGAGTAAATGAGCATGGGAAAGTTGCCTAACCCTAACCCTAACCATATTCGGTAAACTAGCCCTAAAGAAGATAGTAATGGGTATCCAAGGGCTAAAAAAGTGAGTACACTAAGATAGCAAAGTACTAAAAACTCTAGTCGAGCTCTCACACATTTTTGCACAGTTATAAAGTTTTCAAAGATGGCAAAAGGTATCCGGTACTCTGTAATCTTTCCCAAGTGTATGCATTGAAGTCATTATTAAGGATGATTGCCAGTAGGTCATACTGTTACAGCTTTGCTCTAGCCTCATTGGATATCATATATAACACATACCTGGTTATAACAATATATACTATATTATTTGAAGTAATATTTCAGGACAGTCTGAAGCTCTTAAACCATATTGATAGCCAGTATGTCACACAGTATGGATACAGCCATTTTGAATATCATATATAGCAAATGATTGGCTATGACAAAATGGATCCATGCAATATTTTAGGACCATCTCGATAGCCAGTATACTGTTTTGGCAGTCAGACACTCTGGATAGGATATCTGGAAATATTTGCCTATTATAGAATGAACTTTATTCAATAATGTCATTAGTGATGTGAAAAGCAACTGTGTGTGTGTGAGTGAATAAGGCAACATTCCAGCAATATCACAAAAATAGGCTTCTCAGATTGTACCCATGTGGGGAATTGAACCCAGGTTTTCAGCATGACGAATGACGACTTTAACCACTGGGCTACCCCACTGCCCCTACATGTACATAAAGATGTATTATGTTCTTCATTTGATCTTTGTCTGCTTTCAGCTATATCGCCAGCCAGTGTTTACTACAATGAAACAATCAGCACATTGCGCTATGCACAGAGGGCCAAGAGCATTGTCAATAAGCCGAAAGTGAATGAGGTACACAATTAAACTTGTCAATCATTTTTTCTCAAACAACAGTTCATACCTATACATTGTTAACTTTTAAATATACTTCAATATGCAGTAAATTCAAGTACTATATAGTATAGTTTGGGTGTGGTTCTGGTTTTCTTCTCAAACACATTGTCTGTTATTTTAAACCATTTTACAGGACCCCAATGTTGCCACCATTCGTGAGCTACGGAATGAGATCACGATGTTGAAGGAGATGATCGAAGCATCACAACTGGTGAGTTAACATAAAGCATGTTCAAGCATGTAGAATTAAAAGCTCTTTCATATGTGAGTGTTTCATATATTTATCTTCTTGATCTTTACAAGAACATTTACGCACATACTTATACAGAATTTAGAACTGTGGCCAAGTGGCATGCTGATCTAGTCCATACAGTAATTAATTATCCTTGTTTATGTAAACTCTTAGTGCTTTCTTGTAGTCATGCACAATTTCAGTGCATGTACAGGGATCTTTCTTGACCTGCACTGAGGCCCATATTCAGTGCTAATGTGCATTCCTACGTTGGAATTAGAATCCTTACCTGTTGATGTTAATCTTGATATGACTAAGGTATTGGCCTTATTGAGACTTGCACTTCACTGATATCATCGCCAATAAACTCCATATTGGAACAGGCTTTTATGTTGATTTGAAAAGTATTGCATGGAATGTACTGCTGAAAATGCATTGGTAAATGTTTCCAAAATGACATCCGACGATACCAATATTTGGAAACATGATGATTTTCCCCCAAAACTACCTGCCAGGACACCTTGTTATGAATCCCAGATATATCCCTGATATAGCTGGCTCTATACTAGCCCAGATGTGATGTAGATGCATGAATCATGTTGTTTTGCTAGTACTTGAGCATGTGCACTTATAGTCTGTTTGCAATGAAAACGTACCGATGAATTTCAATTCAAACAAAAATGTAAATCAAATAAAGTGAACTTAAGATTGCGAATCCTCATAATTTTACCTTGCCATTTGAACGTTTAAATCTGAGAATTTCATTCAACTTACGATAAAAGTTGTTTAACAAACGATCATAGTTTCAAATCGTTATTATTGATTTGTATTACACTGGGGTATGCAGATTAAATGAAACACCGAGAACAAGAGAGTTGGTCTAAGTTAACGCTCATCACGTATCGCACGTGCATTTGTTTCACTGTTCCAACTACTGTGCTTACCCCTTTGTAACAAAACCCAGTAATAGCGATTTGAAACTATGATCGTTTGTTAAACAACTTTTATCTTAAGTTGAAAAATTCTGAATTTTAAATGTTCAAATGGCAAGGTAAAATTATGAGGATTCGCAATCTTAATTTCACTTCTTTTGATTTACATATTTTTTTTTAAAGTGAAATTCATCGGTATGTTTTGACTGCAAACAGACTATAGTAGTTACTATAGATATTGTTTTATTTCACCACACAGATGCTTAAGTTTTGCACACAAAAATAACCTATTCTGTAAAATGTCTGGAAATCCCCATACTTTTTACAAATGATGAGGTTCCAGAATATTGGTCACATGAATTGATTAGTGAGGCACAGCATCACTAATTATACCGTGATTCTGGGATTACTCAGTTTTGAGGTATCACAAGATCATACCTCACTCACTCACTCACTCACTCACTCACTCTGAGCCTCTGTGTAACTCTGATGAGCTTGCACTCACTGTAAATTGAGGACATAGCTTCTGATTACCAGGTAGGTTTTAGTTTGAGTTTGCACTAGTTAGATGCAGACGTTAGATAGGATGCTTGCGTGGCAAAGTTGCATGGTAGTGTGTGTTGTTTCAGCAGAGCAGACGCGGCAGTGACACATTTTACCTCGTGCCTACAGACGGGCAGGAAGTGAGTCCTAGTTCTGATGAACAGGTACCAACACAAAGTCATCTGGTTTGGGCACTGTTCTATCCTAACACTTCCTTCACACCAGCTCATGACTTGCACAAACCTTTCTTCCTGATTTATTTTTTTTAATTTGAGCTTTGTAGGTGGTAATGCCTTATTTTAATAATTAATCTTTTGGTAGGAATGACAAGTCTTTTATGACAGCTTCTTTATTGTATGATAGTGATGTTTCGGGTTAGATACTTATACCGTTTTCAAGCATGATCATCCACAAAGACTTGTCATTCCCCTGACTTGCAACTTCTAGAATGCCTCTCAAACAGTTAATTAATCTTTGGCACTGATGTGATATGCATGGATTCAGGAATACACAGGGGTGTCTTGTTGAATAATGTGCCTTACCTTATTAAACTGACATAACCATCCATGTGCAGTGGTGATGGTGACCATGTCATACTTTTAATGCCGAATTTAAATACTGTAAAACAGTTTGATACTTTCTCCTTGAAGGTGAAAGTGGATTCCTTGAGTGGACTCTCTTCATCATTATGTCCCAACGGCCCTTCTTTCTTGAATATTGTTGCTTAAAAGAAGAAACTTGGGTGTTGAAAGTTGTGTATCTTTCTGCCAGTCATACCTTCTGCATCACAAAATACTTTGCATAATCTATTAAAACTCTTATCATGGCCATCACAGCAGTCATATTGCCATTTAACAAGCAGTATATTATTTGTTGGTCTCTCCATGTAACAATGGAATATTCAAAATACACAAGCATGTTCCTATATATTTCTTTACAAGCTGAACTAGAGCATATCTTTTTCTTAAAGGCCAGATTATATCCATGAAAAGATAGTTTGAGTGTTATGTTATAGTTGATTGCTTACTGATGACGTAAAATGAATATATGTGTCATAGCATCTCACTGGCATGAAACTTGACTTATGATGAAGGGTGTCTGTGTGAACAAGGAAAACATGAATGATGGACTTAACGTTTTTCAGATTGAGGTTGTTACATCACTGAATAGTTGTGATTGGTTGCAGGTGGACTCAACTCTGTCTGACAAACTCCAGCAGGACCAGTCTCTGGTAAGAAGCAGACATACTGACTTAGTACCAGGTGTCCGATTCAGAAAAATAGTTGTTTAAAACAATATGATAATGTTTTGGAGTTTGTTAATTACCTTTAAATGGTTTGTCAGTATATCAAATGAACCTTGTCTAAGACTGAATTTACTGATTTAATGATCGAACATAAATATCCATTAAAGCATTTCCAATACATTTTCAGGATCTACGATACGTGCAGATTAGGGATTACAAAATGCTTGTAGATTACCTATCTAACATAAGCATCTGCCAGATTCCATTTTCATTACGACTGAGCAGGGTGTAATATTGTCCAGATTCAGAATACATTTTAAAATCCTGAATTTGTCAAGATTATATCTTTATCTAGGGTTATGTGTATTTGTATAATAACATGCAAAGTTTTACTCAAGATGTAATTGTGAACTGTGTTGTAATTGCAAGACACATGTTTATTACCACCAGGGCTTCACAGGCCGAAGTGGCATGATATGTTTTCCCTGCCTTTCAATCAGTCTATCAAATTACCTATTTATTTCTTCCGTGAATTGTCAAAAAGGGTAGAAATGACTCTTGGGAAGATTGCCTTTCATTGTGAACTAGTTGTTCTGGGTTTTAACAAAATACTGTGAAATGAAACATTTACAATGTTTTAGGTACTCACAGGTGACTAACCATTGATGTTACCAGGTAAATGATGCATATTGATTCTCTCCATTAGTCAGCCACACTTACTGCTTGAGTATGTATATATACTGGTGTATGTTCAGGTGAACAAGCTGACGGAAGAAGTGCAGAACAAGTGGAAGACAGCCCATGCCATCATGCAGGTGGGTAGTGGAGCATGATTCTGTAGAGGATACAGTATGAGAACAGACCACCATTCATGTTAAAACACCAGACCACACCATAAATAGAGAATCTCACCCTCGTGTCTACTGATATCAATTACATCAACGTGAGTTGATAAAGTTACAAATATCCTGTGTGAGATTCTATTTATCATCAAAAATCACTCTTCATTATTTTTCAATGAAAAATGTGCATCTCTGAACACGGTACTGTCATTAGAATTGCAGTGCAGCGATGTCAAAGCATTGTTCATGACGTCATAGCATTGTATCCTAGGAGATATCATATGATCTCACACAAGCAATATCTCCAGTTTGGGATGATAAACACACACCTCCACATTTACTCACAATAACCCATCACAGGAAACAAACTGCTTACACACACAACAACCCCAACCCTAGTCAGTCTCACAGTCCCTGAACCACATTATTTTCCCTACTGCCTAGCCCTAATGCCAAAGCCCTAATTGAAGCAAGTCTATATTTCCTCAGGTTCTGAATCTCCCATCTAACTGGGGTCTCCCTTTCAATTTAAAGGAATTAATTGTTTCTATTAAAATCATATATGTTCAGAGACTAAACGTTAGTCTACTCCAACCCCCATACACTTCACTATAACCCTTCCCCACCCCCCTTCCCATGTATACCTGTCTACCCACTGCATCCCACACCATTTAACAATCTACCCTCATCCCATACATTTACAAGAATCCCCCTCCCTTTCTCATACATGTACCCCTGCATCCACCCACTGCATCCCACACCATTTAACAACAATCTACCCCATCCCATACATTTACAAATCCCCTTCCACTTCTCTCATACATGTACCCCCTGTCCACCCACTGCATCCCATACCATGCATGTAACAATCTTACTCCCATCCCATACATTTACAACAATAACACCCCCCCCTCCCTTCTCCCTTCTCTCATACATGTACCCCTGTCCACCCACTGCATCCCATACCATGCATTCAACAGCTTACCCCATCAACAATCTCACTGTCCTCATCCCATACATTTACAATCTACCCCCCCACACCCCCCACCCCTCCCTTTTCTCATACATGTACCCCTGTCCACCCACTGCATCCCCACACCATTTAACAATCTACCCCCATCCCATACATTTACAAGAATCCCCCCACCCCTCCCTTTTTCTCATACATGTACCCCTGTCCACTGCATCCCATACCATGTAACAATTACTATCCTCCCCCCAATACATTTACAAGCATCCCACACCATTTCATACATGTACCCCTGTACCCACCTCACCATAACACATTCCCCATCCAACAACAATCCCTCCCTTTCTCTCATACATGTACCCCTGTCCACCCACTGCATCCCATACCATGCATTTAACAATCTACCCCCATCCCATACATTTACAACAATCCCCCACCCTCCCCTTCTCTCATACATGTACCCCTGTCCACCCACTGCATCCCATACCATGCACCCTTTTAACAAGCTACCCCATCCAATACATTTTACAGCATCCCTTACCCCACCCCCCCACCCCACCCCTTCTCTCATACATGTACCCCTGTCCACCCACTGCATCCCATACCATGCATTTAACAACCTACCCCCATCCCATACATTTACAACAATCCCCCCACCCCTCCCTTCTCCATACATGTACTACCCACAGCAGTATACCCACATCATGCATTTAAATGACCCCATCCCCTACAACCACAGCCGTCCCCAGAAAACAAGCACCTGCTATCACCTGGTTACAATGGTTCTCTCCATTGTGTATGTTCCAGGACACTGACATCAACATCAGCAGTCTGGGGCGCCGGGCCAGCTCCTCTGGGGTGGAGATAGATTCCCAGGTCCCCTACTTCATTGGCTTAGACTACGACATCCGCAGAACAGGCATCAAGATCTACAACATTAAGGTTAGACCAGACAGAGTTTCCCGACAAGTAAAAAGGATATACTGAACCTTATTTGACTGTTCATGTCATGCTTGTTTGAATCAAATTTGTTTACTATGTCACATAATGTGTCAGTTTTATTTAGTTCCAAAATTGAAGCATTAAAGAGAAAAGTTAAAGAGGACTAGACTCCTTCTTTGACTAGATCTGGCAGACTTGGTGATAGGCTATACTTATCTTTTCAGCTCATAATGAGGGATTGGGTTAGGGAACATGCCATTGTACAAAGAATTTTGATCTTGATCCACTAAAATTGTAACTCCCAGACCTTGATTAGTAACTGTGATTCATGATTGACACAGACTTATGATTCATAATTAAAGTTTCAGCACTATTTTTTACTTTTAAGACTTTATTTTCTTTGACCTTTGTACAGGTGAAGCTATCTGCTTTTCAACCAGATTAGCAATCATAAACAATCTCATTCTCACCTTGCAGGAAGGAACTAGCACACATTGCAGGAAGGAACTACACACATTGGGAGTAAATGTTCCTTGACAGATCATGAGACAATTGGTAAGTAGAAATATATGTTACATCAGCTCTTTGTAAGTATTCCTATAATGATATGGATTGTTTCTATATACTCTCTGTGTTGCTGTGTTATACTGTAGAACCTTTGAACATTCAGCTACCAATCTAAATCTTGGATACTGCCTTTAACAATGATGCAGTTAGTGTATATGTTCCAGAAAAGAGTTCCAAGGACTGGGTACTATTGGTTGTACTATAAGAGCAGAAATGAGTTTCCTGTGCTGGTCACTCTGTGCTGGCCATAAGAGCTGAAATGAGTTTCCAGTGCTGGTCACTCTGTGCTGGCCATAAGAGCTGAAATGAGTTTCCAGTGCTGGTCACTCTGTGCTGGCCATAAGAGCTGAAATGAGTTTCCAGTGCTGGTCACTCTGTGCTGGCCATAAGAGCTGAAATGAGTTTCCAGTGCTGGTCACTCTGTGCTGGCCATAAGAGCTGAAATGAGTTTCCAGTACTGGTCACTCTGTGCTGGCCATAAGAGCTGAAATGAGTTTCCAGTGCTGGTCACTCTGTGCTGGCCATAAACAGCTGAAATGAGTTTCCAGTACTGCTCACCCTACGCTGGCCATAAGAGCTGAAATGAGTTTCCAGTACTGCTCACCCTACGCTGGCCATAAGAGCTGAAATGAGTTTCCAGTACTGCTCACCCTACGCTGGCCATAAACGCTGAAATGAGTTTCCAGTACTGCTCACCCTCACGCTGGCCATAAGAGCTGAAAAGAGTTTGAAATGAGTTTCCAGTACTGGTCACCTCACGCTGGCCATAAGAGCTGAAATGAGTTTCCAGTACTGGTCACCCTACGCTGGCCATAAGAGCTGAAATGAGTTTCCAGTACTGGTCACCCTACGCTGGCCATAAGAGCTGAAATGAGTTTCCAGTACTGCTCACCCTACGCTGGCCATAAGAGCTGAAATGAGTTTCCAGTACTGGTCACCCTATGCTGGCCATAAGAGCTGAAATGAGTTTCCAGTACTGGTCACCCTATGCTGGCCATAAGAGCTGAAATGAGTTTCCAGTACTGGTCACTCTACGCTGGCCATAAGAGCTGAAATGAGTTTCCAGTACTGGTCACTCTACGCTGGCCATAAGAGCTGAAATGAGTTTCCAGTACTGGTCACCCTATGCTGGCCATAAGAGCTGAAATGAGTTTCCAGTACTGGCTCACCCTACGCTGGCCATAAGAGCTGAAATGAGTTTCCAGTACTGGTCACCCTATGCTGGCCATAAGAGCTGAAATGAGTTTCCAGTACTGGTCACTCTATGCTGGCCATAAGAGCTGAAATGAGTTTCCAGTATTGGACTTAAGAGCAGGAAAGAGTATCAGTACCAGTTACAGTCTGTTTTGGTCAAAATGATACCAATGAATCACAATCTAACACCAAATCGGTTCATGATCAAACATTCATGTGAACGCAGAATGTAATGAATATCCAAACAGACTATACTTTGAGTTGGCCATAAGAGCCAACATGAGCTGTTGTGTCAAGTTTGATGCCAACTACTCTTCTCCTGCAAAGTTGTTTAATATTTTGTAAGTATTTGTTAGTTTAACCTGTTTTAAGGTTCTTTGCACATAATACATGTTAAAGCTGGCTCGCTCGTCCGCGCCAAGACCCGGTTCGAATCCCCACATGGGCACAATGTGTGAAGCCCATTTCTGGTGTTCCTCGCCGATGATGTTGCTGGAATATTGCTAAAAGCAGCGTAAAACCAAACTCAGTCAGTCAGTCTTTGCACATAATACATGAAGTATCTACATATTTGTGATTCTGTTTGCAGTTCTTAATGGACCTGATATCAAGGCTGAGCACTGTGTTCTGAAGAACTGGAAAGGGACAGTGACTATTATAATTCCGTCCATTTAACTGTGAATGGAATTATTTAACTGTTAATGGAAATTTCAGAATGCAGATGGCATAATCCGACTTACTGACACATTGTATTTGTGCCTGAGCACAGCTGCATTAGCAATAAAAGACTTTTATGTTTGTTGGTTGTTTCATCAGCAATATTTTCCAACTATGTGGCAGCGGTTTGTAAATAAAGTCTGGACCAGAGTGGCATGAGCATTGATCACGCTTTGGGAACTGACATATGTCAGCCTGACCACCGATTGTATTTACAACAAGCGTGGGATGCCTGAGACCATTCTCTTAATGCAAAGTATGAGCTGCATCAGATGCAATAAACACCTGGTGTCAGCAGTAATATTAAAAACACTTCATTTATGTTTGTTGGTTGACAGATCAGAAGTATTCTTTTATGACCAATGAATCTGTTTCCCAGATAACCATGTGGCAGGCATTTGTAACATGCAATGTAACCACCCGTGAAGATCTGGGTTAGAATTGATCTTCAGCAACCCATGCTTGCTGTAAGAGGCAACTAATGGGATCAGGTGGTCTGGCCCATTGACTTGGTTGACACATGTCATCATCTCCCAATTGCATAGATCGATGCTCATCTTGTTGATCACTGGATTGTCTGGTCCAGACAATATATGCCATATAGCCGGAATATTGCTGAGTGCGGCGTAAAATTAAACTCACTCACTCACACACTTCTGTAACCAGATACTGTGTAGTATATTTGAAGTTTTGGTATCACGGTTGGTTAGCATTATGAAACTGGCATAATCCAAACTATAATATGCAGGTGCCTATATAAATGCAGTAATTGTAAATGCAATGTTTCTTCTTGCCACCCAGATAGTCCCTGGCAAAATGTATTTAGTATGCGATACTACAGGTCTTAACTTATTTGTATATTTGTGTATTCTGTATTTTAATAACTTTGCTTTTTGTAATGCTTGTTTGCTTGTTAAAATATGGTGATATCACATTTCACTGATCCAATGTTTGTAAAATGTTTCTTCCTTGTTGAATGGTATTTTGTGTTTCCAGGTGACATTGTGTTCTTGGGCAGGACTCAGATGTTCCGTTACATCAACCCTATACAAGCGGCCAGTATGAGTGTAGGTACCATGTTAATGTGTGTGCTGAGGAATTCATTTGTTGTTCGTTGGTTTCCAAACTGCTTAGTGTAGATGGTTGAAATTTCAAAGTCATTTTCAGGGGTGGAAATAACTTTAAAATTGCTAGTGTACTCTGGTACAGTGGCACATGTAAAATCACTTGCCCTGATAATTATTCCACTATACCGGTCATTTCTTGTTGATTTTTTAAATAAACAACATAATTAACATTGGAATATCAACTGGACACCGGTACAGTATGATATACAAATTTGCTTGCCCGACAGAAAAAAAACACTGGACTCGGGCGTCAGGCAATGGGTTATTTCCACCCCTGATTTTCAAGATTATTACTGCTACTAGTGAAAAAAAAGGATTTTCAGGCCATACCATCACAGAAGTAATATTGCAAAACAATAGCGAAAGATAATCTATTGGTTTATTTTTCTTAGAATACTGTATATCGCTGCATATAAGGCGAGTTTTTTGTAAAACAAAACTTACTCACTCCACCTATAATCAGATGTGTTTGTGTTTCTTGTCACGCAGGAAGGAAACATGGACGGTATTCCTGATCATCAGTCTGCGATGCAACATCTGTGGTACCGACCAAGGTGAGCGCTGACTTGTCTCGTGGCTGGTGTGTCACATCTACTGTACTGCAGTGAGTGGTGGCGTGGAGTGCTGCCAAAGAGGGTGTTGCTTCGCCAGCTGTGACTGGCTGTATTCTGTTGTAGAAGCCAGTGTCGGTGTTGTAGATGTGTGTGTGTACTACTGCTGTGTCGTTGTTGCCACAGATTAGTCTCTAGTGGCAGAGCGTGTTCCTATCTTGAAGCTTGTGGTAGTGTCGGTTCTACAGGGTGTCTGTGCTGCCCTGAGACAGGGGAATGCTAATTCTGTATGTATATGTAACACTGGTTATACTTAAAATCATACTTTCTTAGTAAAGTGCAAATTATGGTACTTTTTGGGAACTCAAGCCAACACTCTCAGATTAAAGCACCTTATCAGCAGCCCACCGAGACAGCAACCTAATCCACTGAACCACCACAAATTCCACACAGTTTAAGTCAAATGGTAATTTAGATTACTTACTTTGGAATCCCCAGCGGCTGACTGGGTTAAGTCACTAATGATAAGGTGCCTTACTTTGATTGTGTAGGTTGAAGTATCAGAATCCACCCAAAGTTTGTTCTTTTCTAAGAATGTAGAATAGTATATATACCTTATGTTATATATGACTACTTTCTAACAGGCATTGTTTGTTTATGCATGTATACTGCCAGAGACCAGCAGCAGTCTGACCTACAGACTTCACGATATTTCCTGTCAGTTCATTCATGAGAGGTAGTTGGATTGTTACCCTATCAGTTACAGTAGACAGCTCTTTCCTGTAAATATGGTATACAGATATATATAAAGACTTTTCTTTCATAGTGGAATGTTCTGGTTAATTATTCATTTTATGAGTGTTTGGTTAGGTTATATACTTTGAGAGATTTTATTTATTTATTTTTTTGACACATGAATTATGAACACATTGCTGACATAGATATAGCTGAATAGTTGTGGGGCACATAGTGGCAGATATCAGGGAAACCATCATGGCAGTTTGTGATACTGAAGACATGAGACTGCAGATATTCTGTTGTTACAACTCTAGCTAAAAATACATTGTTATGATTCTCTCTCGAATTATCTGCATTTCCTTTTCTGGGGAAGATGTTCTGTGTTTTATAATCATTTGTTCACTTTTCATCAAATTAGACAAAAACATATTCCCAGAGCCATTGGAGTAAAGCACAAATTCTCCCTTGCATGCTCATTTCTATGAACTGAAAATGATGTGACGATTTGTTATGTCCCTGGAACTGTCTGCCCTCTGGAAGCCTCGTGTACATTACTTGTGTCCAGTAATTAGCACCTTGCTCCTGAAGCCCCCTTGATCACAGACATTACAAGTAACTGTGTCTGGCAAGTCATTAGGACATTCACAAGTCAGAAAGAGGCTAATGAGTAGAGTATGGAGTCATGTGACATGTCAGTGTCTTGGGAACATGCAACAGTCCACGTTGTTGGTTGTAGCTCACCAAGCCTAATGGCCAATACAGTGAAACCTTGTTAACTCAACAACTTTGAGCCACAAAAATATGTAGTTTTCCAAATTCATCTTTTCCAGGCAAGGGAGCTAAGTGACTATAAAAGTCCAGTTTCAAAGCCTGGAAATTCTTACTATGCATAGTCCAATAAAAATTGCGTAACAAAATTTCATTTGATAATGTGCAGCGCTGGTGTCAATACTTAAACTATCAATTTTGAGATAATTTATAAGTTGTTCATATCTCATTCAATTTCAAAATGTAGACTTTGATATTTCAAACAACATGAGTCAGACTATGTCCAGTATATAATGATTCCATTTGGATACTGAAGTAAGTATTTCCAGATGTCGGAGTTTGAGTTAACGATGTTTCACTGTACTGTTTTCTGTTGTGTTCATTTCTCAGATGTCAGCAAATGAAGGTTGACAGTTATCTCACTCAAAACATCTCTAATGACTTCTTTGATGGGCATTTTAGAAGTTGAGTTGATGAAGAATGATGACAATTTTTATGGATATACAACTTCTTTTATTCTGTGAAAGGCGACATTTTCGACATAAATTCTAATGTCGTTCTCAAGCATGTTGACAATGGCATTAGAATCTGTGTTGAAACGTCGCCTTTCACAGAATAAAGGAAGTTGTATATCCATAAAAATTTCATCATTCTTCATTCCTAATGACATTCAATAGAAGGGTATTCAACAATATGTTCCTATCAAGTTTTGAAATGTTACTTTTGCACTAACCCACAATGAATGTTTTCATGCTGCTTGTATTTTGGAGACCATGAAACTCTCGTGGCGGCATGATTTATGTTTTTAAAATCATCATGATGATGTATGAGCTAGGCTTGTTCAGTGCATGAACTGATGCATGAACCCTTTAACTAATGAATGCACTTTGTATTTGCCTGCTCAGTCTTCCCTCTGCTGAGAAATGGTAAGTTTCACTGTGGGAGATGGTACAGTTTGCTCCACCTAGTGCCTTAACTGTGACGGCATTCGCTCCACAGCAACACTTCCCCACCTCCATCGTCGGTCGGCCATGTGGTATGGGAGGTTCGGAAGTGTTGCTGTGTGTCTCCGCAGTCGTTGCTGTTTGATAGCTCTAACTGTCACCCTTAGTGTTGCATGCTGACAACAGTGTAAACGATTGTCTTCCCTAGGTCTGTGTTGAGCTGCTTGTAACCTGTGAGCGTGCATGGCCTGGTGCATGATACCAGGGTTTGTAGTGGTGTGTGACACCTTTAACAAGTGGCTGTGTAAGATGCTTGCCTCCTGTGTAGATGGACTGGTCTGCGTCAACGTAGATTAGACAGCATGCACCTGTAGATGTAACTGCACCTTTGTTGTGGACTTAGGATTAGATATAGCTGGGTTGGATTTGCTTTTACAATGCATTTTTTTGGTTTTGAGCTTCACATGATTATTAACTCTGATTTCAAGATGTGCTTGAAGTGATGTGTGTCCAATATGCTTGAATTTGTGCATCCATATATTTTTCCCGGTAAAACTACTTTTCATAGTCCCTATTACCTGTGAAGTATCCCATCTGTATGAGTGAGTTCATATCATGACGAGAGAAAGCCAGCCATCATCTGGATCCCATCTGAATGTAAAACATAAACATAAACTGCCATTACTGTGTCGTAAGAGGCGACTAACGGGCTCGGGTGGTCCGGTTTGCTGACTTTGTTGACACACGTCATTATATCATATTGAGCAGATCAATGCTCATGCTGTTGATCACTGGATTGTCTGGTCAAGACTTGGTTATTTACAGACCACTGCCATACAGCTGGAATATTGCTGAGTCCGGTGATAAACAGCAAACAAACAAAACTGCCATTACTTAGATGATGAGTCTTCTTTAGTCGTTGTCATGGTCACCACTACAGAGTATATAGTGATAATGTGCCCAGTAGATATCATCCAATACTGACTCCCATCAAGTGATATCACTTATTATATACCCAAGCAATACTGTCAGTTATATATTCCACTTAACCCTAGCTATTTTATGTTAGACTTTAAAAATTACTTTAAAAAAGTTTCCTTGAACTTTATTTCAAGGTGAAATATTCTATTTCAGTGATAGCTGATATCAAATTTATACTGATTTAAAGCTTATGTTGGTTTTGCTCTAGAGAAGACTATTAAGATAGATGTAAATACAGTCAATCTAAAACACAAAGGGATTTCACATAGCTTTTGAGTACAAAAGAATAAAAATTGATATTAAATAATAATAAAGTCAGAGGCCAGATTTATTTAAAGCATGGTTTGATCAACTTCATGCTAAAAATTCTTATATAAAAAAAATATCTTGATATAATTTTGATACTTCCTTTACATTTTGAGGAAATGAAAAAAGAACAAGTTGTAAATTTAAAAAAAATATGTGACTTACAATTTTTCGACACAAATCTGTAAACAAATGCAAATTCAGATCTTTATATATTTTTAAATAAGAATCATTATTCAATAATTGTAAAAGGAGCCCAGTTCCATGCCCGCTGTAGAAGTTGACTTTAGTAGAGAGACAAAACAGACATGAGTCTGAGGTTCTTTATGTTCCCAGGCATCAGGAGTAACACTGGATGCAAGATCTTTTATAAGGATGCTTATTTGATTTTAGAGTAGTTTAATCTTTTAAATCATAGATAATAGTTTCACTAGCTAAAAATGTTCCTTCAGAGAACTACTAACACAGCACATTTACCACATCTGATTTTTCTATTATATTTCATCACTTAAAAGTTATTAGATGATTGTGTTTAAATCTGCAGTTTGACATGTGCTTGCAGCTTCTGGGGCGGGGATGGGTGGAATGCTCCTGGTGTTTACTGCAACAAGCTGCAGTGGCCCTTGTGGGATGGGGGACTATAAACACAGTTCCATGTTAACAGTTCATAAAACAAATGCATAGTAGACGACATGGAATTCATCAGAAAACACTGAAGTGTCTCGCCGTTATTTTCATTTTACAAAGAATATTATGCATATCAATGGTGAGATTCTGGTTGATTCATACGTTGTTATGTGGACAACTAGCTGTGGTATCAGTCATATCATTTTGAAGAAATGTCTGAAAATTTTGGTTTACAAGCATTGCAGATAAAGCAATATGTGACATTCATTTTTCAGCGTTTTTAATTTTCTTATCACATACTTCGATAAATAAATATTTAGATGTTGTTGTCACATTGTTTCTTTTTAACTATTTTCTAGGAAATAAATATTTAGATATTTGTGTCACTTAACTTCTCTGTTAAACATGATATCTTAAGAGTTTTCTAGGGAATAATGTTTTAGATGGTGATGTCACATGACTTTTTTTTAACTATTAACAGTTTCATTGTTTCCTGGGGAATACATAGTTAGATGTTTATGTCACTTCTTTTTAAATGTTAATATTTTAATTGTTTTCTGGAGAATAAATATTTAGGGGTATCAAACTGAAGCATTGGAACCTGTGATAGAAAACTGTGAACCTAATACATGATGTTCTCCTGATGATTTGGTAAAAACAACCCATGAAAAGATAACGGAATCATCAATATATCATATGGCAGTAGCCTATTACAATGTACAGTAAGTGTGCTGGTAAGTGATTGTGGTAGAATATTGACACATGGTAGCCAGTGAGACCTACACTGCTTATGCATGAAGCAAAGATCAATATGTTGACTTAATCCATTATTTTAAGTGTTAAGGGTTCCCCTCACACCAGTGGATCCCCCAACACATGATCCATGTGAACTGCATAGGTGTGGGTAATTGTATAATACCATTGACCGTTTGTATGTTGAAGCGTGGAGGTGGAGCGGACGTGTCGCACGGAGCAGGAACAAGTGGCCCAGGCTCAGTAAGTATACAAAACTCTTGGATTCTCAGAATGTGAAATGACAGTGAAACCAACCAGCTCAGCTGTGTTTGAGACAAGCGGCCATTGTAAGCAGGTGCCCTGTATTATCATCAAAACCATTTATTCGTAAGCACCGAACATACTGCGATGGCTACCACTGCAGGTTTTGTAATACATCGCATTAAACTCTGGATCTTTAGCATTATCTCCGCTTCCTGGTTACTTCGCTAAGCAACCATTGTGGCGCCACCTAGCTTAGGAAAGCTCTGTGCCAACTCAAGCTGCTCAAGACGATTGACTCAGATAAAATATAAAAAAAATATAAAATATGCAAGTTGGATTAAAACCCTTATGAATGCAGTCTGAAGTAAGTATTTGATTATGGATGTATTTAACAGCATTTGATGGCTGATTTGTTATACCACAACAAGCTATGGAATAACTGTTTGAAGTGCCCTGAAAATGAATACAATGAGTGAGCAAGGTTAATTATACACTGCACATTAATAATAGAAACAAATGATTGTGAACAGAGAAAGTTTTAAGCTAGTCAAAGAACCTATTTGTACCATTTGAAAACATTTGATAAAACTGTTTCCTTGATGGTACAAAAGACCAAGCTTGTCTTGGCTCAGATCTATAAATACTTCGTAGCTGTCAATAATTATGCTTCTGGTAGCATGGCTGTTGTGGACACAATGAAACATTGTCATTTGTCACTACCTGTTCAGATCCGAGCCACAACCACAGTGGCTGCACTGTGCCATGTTATTGACGTTGGTGAGTGAAATGTACAGTTAGTGTGAAGTGTGTCTGTGTCGTGTCTTGGAGACAGTACACACTGGCATGGTATGTGATCAGCGTTACTGCCACCCTGAGGCACTCGTTGGTGGCATTACCTCATCCTGTGTGAGGGTTGTGACTCACTGGCATTCATGTAAGTGATTGTCGTTGCAATACCATTATAACCCTGAAATGACAGCTCATATTTGCACCACATGCTAATGAGGTTTACTCCATGTATTATCGTAGATCCAACTGTCAGCCTTATAGTGCTCTCTCATGGCTTGTTTGGTATAAGTGAAGCCCATTTCTGGTATCCCCCGCCGTGATATTGTTGAAATCTTGCTAAAAGCGGCGTAAAACCATACTTACTCACTCACTCATTTGCTTGGTATAGGCACAGGATGTTACACAAAATGGTTAGTATGTATATCCTTCTGTTATAATCACCTACCCGTGATTTACCGGAATCATATTCCAGTGTGACCAATATTCCAGCCATTACCGTAACTCAGGTCTGATTCCGCAAAATATTATCCAGATACACTTAACACCTACATGATTTCATAAAAAATGGTAGGTTACCTTATGGATGACAATTGCTTTATTATGTTACAATGCAACGTTTTGGTATAGATTTTTATACTGTTGTCAAGCAAGAGTGAAGTGCTACAACACAAAACAGACTTGTCTGCATGTAACAGGGATTAACAAAGACAATGTGATGGTATGCATGAAAGGGCTTGCTTGACAACGGTATAAGAATCTATACTGAATCATCACATCGTAATATATTGAGAAATTGTCCTACTGTTCTTACTGCTCATCAGCTTCTAAACTGCCAATCAAGCAGATTACATGATTACAGCATGTGACTGTAGATAAGCCAAATTTTGACTATCAGAAAGAGCAGTCTGTAGAAAGATCTCAACCTTACCTAAAGGTTACACTTTTGTCAGACATTTTTTTCTGGTAGTAAAAACACCCGAGTCCATATTGCTTCATGTGAACAAACAAGAGAAAATGACTTTATCAGTGAAGATGTTATGAATATGTAAGAATAAATAACTCAAATAATCACCTGCATTTATCAGCTATTCCCTCCACTCTTATCACACACACCCCCTACCCCCAAACTAAAGTGTTTAATGATATAAAAAAGGTTATCTACCTTCACCCTTTGTCAGCCATTCAAATTATGCTGTTATTGAATTTCCTTTTGAAACTGAAAAACTTACACTAGGAAAAATCATAGTGCCACAAATGATACAGAACTTAATGTTTGATTTCCATAAATAAATATGACCTTATAATGTCATTCACTTTCACAATCATTTTAACTGTCAAGCAAAGAGGTTAGATCTCGTCCATATTTCAAAGAATATGTAAGTTTGTGATGTTTGTATATTGGCGTGACCTCAGGTGTGTTATCTGTGAATAGGTCCACAATGAAGGCAGTTCAAGTAGTCCTTGATCTGCAAACAACTGACATATGGCCTTACACAAGGAAAACCTAAGTAGCCTGATAAACTGTTTCTATATTTCTCCGAGAAATGAGAACAAAGATTTTGGCAGGTGTCCAGCCTTTTTAGACTTCGTGGAACAGCTGAAAGCTACCGTTATTTGCCGGCCAGGAAAGGGAACAAACCTCGTCAGCTGGTAGAGGGGTAGCACTAACAGTCTTTTATACACGGCTTTGGTGTTTACACGGCCAGTAATAATGGTATGAATGACAGAGTTGACAGTAATGACAGCATTGTGCTGTGTAGTTTGCCATGAAGGCATTCATGCACTTTGACTACTGTATATCACTGAGTCTAAAAGCACTAAATGTAGAACCTGAGAGCCAGTCTAGTATCAGATAGCTTGTATAGTATTTATCACAGGACTATTACTGACTCCCTGCAATATCTAGCGGAGATTTGGGTCCTCATTTACTGTATGGTAAGACATAGTTCAAAATATATGTGAGTATGTTCTTGGTTTATTTTTCACAACGTTTCTGGGCTGGTTCTTGCCCCTTCTTCAGGAGTATGACTGATATCTGTAGGAACATAGTATCATATATTTAATGAAGCGATACATACAATAATATCATTGTCTTTTATTACAGAGGCATATGAGTATAATGGTTCTGTTCCAAACTGGTTCTATTTAACATCGGAATAATCTACCAGTGGTCTGAGTGACATGAATAATTGATGCAAATGTCGCGTTTACATCTCCGCTGAATGTCCTATTGTTTTGTCTACCATCCGGCTGTAGGAAAACAGCATGCTGACCGACTCATTAAGAATGTGATTGGGAATTTGCAATAATAATGTGATTTTCATGATATTATCTTCTCATACCATTGCAAATTCAGTAAGAATGTTTCATCTTAGCTTGTCTAATCTGAAAGTGGTAAGGGGATATTTTCCATTGCCTTTTGGTGTGTTTGTTAGCCCGTGGTATAAACTTTTTATATGCCTCATCTCCTCTGAAACCATTACATGGTAGACCTGTGGTATGTACTTATTAATGTATAGAGATTGTGATTGCCTTAGCGCTAAGATCACTTTGTACAGAGTCAGATTTATTAAGCTGATCATCCACAGAAATCATTACACAGCACAAGTTTTGGTACACTACAGAATACAGGATACCTATCAGCCATTTTGTTTGGTGTCACAATCAGCCTAACCCTAACCCGGATACCTATCAACCATTACCCTTTTGCCCTAACGTGTAAACCTTACCCAGCCTAACCCTTAACCTTTACCTAAACCCCTAAACCTAACCCTAACCCTAAACCTTACCCTAAACCTTACCTAACCCTAACCCTAAACCCCTAACTCCTAAACCTTACCCTAACCCTAATTAAACCCTAACCCTAAACTCGCGTGCTTTCAAAGATGGCGGAAGGTATCCGGTATTCTGTAATCTTACCCAAGTTTTAATGTTACGGTAACTGTCACCTCTGCTACTCTACTCAAAATGTCCCATTACCCATCCGCTCTGCACATATCCATATGCAGTTTGATATGATGTATTTGACATGGATACAGCTGCAGTGGTTTCCAGATTAACAAATCGTGGGCATAATGAGTGAGTGAGTGAGTTTAACATCACTGTGAACAGGGTCCATGTTATGTCACTCATGTCAATAAGGGAGGAAATCATAAGGGGATGCAAGTCACAGATGCTTACTGCTTTGGTGAAACCCACAAGCCTGGTTTAAGTGTGCTGACAATCCTGAAAACATAATTGGGGCAGCATCGGTATAAAGTCCCGATGTTCTGCATAGACATTCCGTACAGGAATTCCCTTGAAGGCAGGGTTTGTGTATGTCACATGTCCAGACTAAGTTTCCCTGTAATACATTTTGGGATTCATTTTCAAACTTATTTTTCCCATGCTATGGAGCATTTATTAAATAAAAGACATCTTTTTTTAACAACTGTGTTTTTTCGTAAGTGTTTGTTTTTACAAAAATGTGTGATGCATTTCTTGTTGCTTTTCAATGATACCCTTGTATACAATTAGTAATGATGAACTTGGATAAAATCTTTGCATGGAAGATCACATTGGCTGAACCCTTGAAAGTGGGTCACAAAATCCCAAACCAAATTAAGCCAGTATCAAAATTATATTTCATCCAACTACTCTGATGCAAGTATCAAAGTGTACTTTAACATATATTAAATATGTTGTGTAGTTCAATAATTAGAGACCCGTGATTATCTGGGTTAAAATTGATCTTCAGTAACCCATGCTTGTCATGGTACCCTTGTCATGAGAGGCGACTAACGGGTGGTCAGGCTCCCTGACTTGGTTGACACATGTCATCGGTTCCCAATTGTGTAAATCGATGCCCATGATGTTGATCACTGGATTGTCTGGTCCAGACTCAAGTATTTACAGACCTCCACCATATAGCTGGAATATTGCTGAGTGCAGCGTGAAACAAAACTCACTCGCTCAATAATTAGATCTATAATATTGCAAACAGTTGAAGTTAAATAGAAACCTTGACAGTCTATTTGTTATTAGAAATCAGCGAGTCATATTTGGTAAATAGCAACACATTGGTATGAGAGAGCTGGGTATCTTTGATGATTTGTTGTAATGTTGCCATGTGGCAGGATCAATGGAGACAAACAGGGAAGACATGCATGGAAGACTGACTGCACATGGTATTGATCCAGATGTGTGTGTACGCACAGGGCACCTGCAGGGTACCATGATAATGCCTGTTTGCTGCTATGGCGATAAGGTTGTCAAATTGACAATTATTGTATCTTGGTTTCAGATACAATTGCTCTTGTTTGGTTAGAGTAATGGTTGCTAGAGAAAATAGAGGTGTTATGGATTGTTGCTAAAACATATAATCCTGTACGTTTGAAACCTGGCAGATTAATTTTTTATACTTTGTAATGTGTAGATAGTGCAAAACTGAAGTAAGAGTAACTCATCTCCATCAAGATTATATTTTGATTCCTCATTTTGGCACACTGTATGTGAACCCTGTACATGGTTTGCCATTGATAATTAATGGTTAAAACATAGTCTCAGTTGAAGAGAGCCCCAAATAAAGATCTTGTTCAGAACTGGTCTTCAGTAAAGCTTGCTTGTTGTAAGAGGTGACTAGAAGGATAACATGGTCATGCTCTCTGAATTTGTTAATACATGTTATTACTCGCCCGTGGAAGATACTGCAGTGTAATATGGCAATATTACACTAGTGTAATACCGCTAGACATATGACGTCATAATGGTTTACAGTTATGACCTCACAATGCTAATACCTCTGTCACAATGGTATTAGACCTTGCTTCACTCGTTTAATACCAAATCATCAACTCGTTTAATAAAAATGGTATTAGAAGGTTGTTTAGTATCCTCTATTTGATACCATGATCAATCACAAACTCGCTTAACACTGCAAACATTTTTTGTTACACAGCAAGATTTGTTCCTTTCATGTCTATTTTTAGACCTTCGCTGTTCCGTTTGATACCAAATCATTAACTTTTCAATCCAAAACCAAAACACATTAAAACATGGTACTTGTTGGTCCCTGCCGCGCCAGCATTAATCCTCAACAAAGGACTGGTTCGACAGTATATAATGTGTCTGAGTGGGGTATTCAAGTGCCTAGATCAGGCTAGCACTATAAAACCAGCTTCAGTCAAGGTTAAAGCAGTCCACACTGCAATACATTTTGTATGAGGGGAGCCACAATTGTAAATATTTCGATGTTCAATTCCACCACCACCATGTCTATTTTGAAAGTCTGAAAAATATTTAAGATTGTTGTGCAATAAATATCAAAGAGCGATGAAGAACAAAATATTGTTTAATCATGATGTCATTTCTAAAAATTCAAATATAAACTTGGAACTCGTTTGTGTTGTAAATTTGACAATGATATTTTTGAGAGGTTAGTGAGTTCCCAGATGTACCTGGTTTGATAATATGATAAAACATGAGACTGATTTTAAACTTTAATCACAGTATGTGTAGGAGGAATACAAAACTAAGTTAATACAGAAGGCGGCACCCACATAAGCAGTTATTACTGGCACAATGTTACAGAAGTGTTTGGGAATGGTAGCCGTCAGTCTGTGGAGCCATCACATTTCATTTCTAGAGCAAAACATGGAGACCTGTTCAATTTTTTTTTTTTGAATTTTGCTTATGTATCAAACACATGCTGAACTGTTTTCTTTTGAAGTTTTGATATTTCTGAATAGAATTTTGTCTGTTTTCTTATTTTCACATATCTGATGTGTTGTCAATATAGTGTGTTACTTCAAGTAACTGTAGCGCCCATAAAATTACTGAGCTCCATGATGAGATTTGAACCACAGACCTTCTGATCTGAAGTCGGACACCTTGTCCACATGACCAAAGAGGTTAGCAAGCTGACAAGGTAAGTATATCAGCTATGGGATGACTCCATGTCCTGCTACATACTCCCCTGTCAACAGAAGGGACATCCAGGGGTACATATCAGGGTAGTGAGACTAATTTTGCTCAAGTTTTATAAGAACATGCTCAGCCCCACCTTGGGCACAGATGTGGATGAGGTGTCTGACTTTGGATCAGAAGGTCTGTGGTTCAAATCCCAGCATGAGACACAGAAATTTTATGGCCGCTACATAATTACCCACCAACTGTATGTCAACCAATGGAGCCACAGTGTGTGTACATTTGTGTTCCTGTCTTACAGGAAAGAACTGGAGAAGCTGACGACAGCACTTGAGAGACAGAAGGCAGCCAATGAGGAGTCTGAGGAACAGTTTCTGACAGCCCGTTATGAGAAAATGGCAGAGATGAAGCGGGAGAAGGAGGAGCTAGAGGAACAGATGAGGCAGAAGCAGAAGGACTGGGACCAGGAGAAGGCCAGAGTCCAGGAAGAACTGGGCCACATACGTCATCAGAAGAAAGATCGTGAGTTGAGCCTCTGTATACCTAACTGACCATTTCTGGGATGTGCTGGAATTTTGTATGAAGACTGTATTACAGCATATTTTTGTGGCAAACATTTTTGTTTTCAACTTATATTTTCAAGAAAAAAATATGTATTGGGACAATATATTATTATTTTCAATTGGGTCACAACTCAACCCTATCCCCAAGTAAATCATGCTTATATAAGACAGAAATGAGGTCATCAGTCTATGTGACCTCTTCACATCAAGATAGGTCAAGACACAATTATTTACAGGCCACTTTGACTCAGAAATAGCTTGAATATTGCTGATTGTGGTGCTATACATCATTCACTGACTCATGATTAGATTCCACTGGTATCATGAGCTCTAAGTGTTTCGACTGATACAGCTATGATGGTAGCGTGGTAGTATGATAGTGAAGAATCTGTCTGGTTGAATACGCAATGCCATTTAGAAAGTTGTCAGATGTAGCATGTTATATTTGGGATTGATGCACCAGTTACCAAAAATATTTGTGTTTTAACTCTTTTCACATGCTTTTTTTTAAGTAATTGATTTGCCTTTGCTAGTGTTTGTGATGTGCCAACAGTCTGAGGGTTACACTCACCTTAAACAAACTGAACTACCATCATCACTATTCGATAATGAATCATAAACGCATGCTTATGATATATTCAGAACCATACAAGAAATATATTTTGATCACAGAAAGGGTTTTCCTGCCAAAATAGTCCAGTCAGCTGATAATTGCCATGGTTACAAAATATAATAAAAAATAAATCTCACAATACTGAGGGGCAGAAGCAAAATCAATGTTACCTTAAACTTAAGTATCCTCAACATAAGAGAACCAAAACAATCAAAGGCAGGACCTTGGACCCTGCTTTGCCATTTTAGGTTGACACATTTAACAATTCTGGGTCCCATCCTATCAATCAGATAACGTAAGTCAGCATGACTAATGAGCTGCAAAACGTTAATCTTTTAATGTTGTGGACTGCTAATGATGAGGTTGGCTTGACTTTAATTTGCTTTAAAACTTAAAATTATTCCTGATTTTGGTGTCATGTACCATTTTGTTGGTATGCTTTGGTCACAAAACATGTGTAATTGGCTTGCTATATACAGAAAACAGGAAAATATTCATGTGATTGTGATACATATTTGTTAGTATTTCATATTGTGGTGTGACAGTAATACTTTGGACATCTATCGTTTAGTCAATATCATAGGTCATTAGATTTTGGGGGCGACAGGGTAGCCTAGTGGTTAAAGCGTTCGCTTGTCATGACAAAGGTTGGGCTCGATTCCCCACATGGGTACAATGTGTGAAGCCCATTTCTGGTGTCCCCACCATGATATTGCTGGAATATTCCTAAAAGCGGGGTAAAACCATACTCACCCACTCACTCATTAAATTTTGTTTTCCAGTTGAGGAAAAGCTCCAGGATGAACTGAAGAGTGTTTTGGAAGGTACAGACAAACATGCTACTGACTCAGCTGCATCAGACAGCAGTGAAGACTTGCCAGTTAAAGGAGAAGATGGTAAAGAGATCAAACACCACCGGAAGTCAGTAGAAGGGCAAGTAAAATTTTTGGTTGAAAAAGAGCTCTTGACAGAAATAGATCAACGCCAAAAGATGAAAGAGCTTGAGGCCCAAACAAAGGAGTTGAAGGACAGGCATGACAAGTTATTGTCTGAGCTTAATCATAAGCAGCAGGAAGTTGAACAGCAAGAAGAACACATTATTAAAGATGTTGATCATTACAAAGACATTGTCAACAAGGACATGGAGGTCAAGAAACTTGAGACTGAGAAAGAGCAGTTGCAATTTTTCATTCAGGAAAAGAAGGACCTTATGCATGTCAAGTCAGCTACTCCAAAACTCTCAAGGTTGGAATTAGTCTTGAGAAATTACCCATCTCTCATCAGTCAGCCTCTGCCAAGCCATCTCCGAGAAGCACAAGTCTGCTGTCATTGTCAGAGAAGCCCCAAACTATGGCACAGCACTTATTGATGAAGGCATCTGATTCAAACAGTGCAACACCAACAGGTAGTCAGGAATCACTGAATTCTGAAACATCTGCTTCTGATCTTGTGCCTGGTCAAACAATATCTAACAGTAAAAAGAAGACCTTGTCTCAAAATGTCCGTTCCATTGTGGACAGATTATATAAACCCCAGCCCCATAAAAAGTTTGACTTTCTGAAGAAGAAGGACCGATTGTTGGCATCTCCGTTATCTTCACCTTCCCAGTCGACAGAGCGACTGGACCGCTCAAGTCCAGAAACTGTGCCAAAACGTCTGTTTTTGAAGAAAGGTCAAGGAGCACATTTGTCTCGTTCTCCTACTTCCAGCCACAGAAGAACAAAGAGATCAAAGACTGAACCACATGAGAAACATCAGTTCTTGAAAAGAGGTGATGGCCATCGAGCCAGTTCATCACCACCTCAGCCACATAAACTTTCTTATGCAGATTCAAAACCTCTTAAGCTGAAGCATGCCAAACGACCAAAAACAAACTGAAGAGACACCAAAACAGGAACAAACTCAGACTATCAGCTCCTTTTTGCATCCTGATGATGCCACATTGCAAACTTCCATAAGGCCAAGCATGGACCCATTACCATTAAGAAATAGACCTTTATCTCGATGTGTTTCGCGTGCATCAAGTTTGCCGAAAGTGCCAGAAGCAGTTGGTGAGGAAACCGAACCAGCAGACAGTCAAAACCGCTCTGCACCTAATGTTACCTTTGATACAAGTAAGGTTGTTTTGCGAAAAAAGAAATCACGGAGATGGGAAAGACCAACCTCAATGCCAGTTGGAGTTGAGATTGCTAAGATGTTGGCTGAGCTTGGTGATGGAAATATTTATGACACAGGCAGTACTGCTGAATGTGCATCTGGACAGGCTTTTAGTGAGGATGGGAACCTCACTGATGATATGAGGAACTCATCCCCTTTACCTGACCCTGCATCAGACGCCGAACATAGTGATAGTACAGGCACGGATGTTACAGTGCTTGATAGAGTAGGACCAATGATCTCCTCACTTGATTCATGCCCGGAGGATATAGAAAATATGTCCACTGTGGCAGGTGATACTAGTCCCAATAGTGCAGAAGCAGACTCTGTTGGAATTGAAGAATCATGTGATAATACAGTAACTGAGGGTCATTCTAGAGATACGGATAATGTGCATGAACCCTGTGTTCCAAGTCAGTGTGTTGATGATAGTGACAAAAGTGATGGTAATAAAGAAGATAGTTTCTCTGATTCACTTGATGATGATGATAATTACTCCAAGGATGTTTATTCAATGCCAGAAAGTGATGCTGTTGCAAGGCCGCAGTCAGTGATGTTAGGCCATGTTCCAGAGGCACTTGATGCAGATGATGATGACAGTGGGGCACCCCTGGATACTGGGTGTGGTTTAGATGCTGAGGATACTCTGAAGATGGTGCAGGAGGAGGGGGCACCCCTGGATACTGGGTGTGGTTTAGATGCTGAGGATACTCTGAAGGTGGTGCAGGAGGAGGGGGCACCCCTGGATACTGGGTGTGGTGTAGATGCTGAGGATACTCTGAAGGTGATGCAGGAAGAGGAGTACAGTCAGTTGTCTGAAGAGTCCATCACTGATGCTGAGAGGCTGGAGAAGCTCCAGAAAGCCTTAGAGCACCTAGAACGGTTGGTACACTTTGTTGCATAGTCTGTCTCTCAGTCCCTGAACCACACAGTTTTCCCTACTGCCAAGCCGTCCCTACAATGCTAAAACTCTAAATGAAGCAAGTCCCCAGGTCCTGATTTTCCCAATTCACTGGGGCTCCTTTTCAATTTAAATGGGTCCATTTGTTACTATCAAAATTATATATATTCAGGGACTTAGCGTTAGTCTATTTGTTGTATTGCTTAGCTGTAAATCCAAAGAGACTATAGATCACCATCAAATAATAATACTTTCAGCTTTAATAATCTTATTATTTGTCAGAGTGATATTTATTAACATTCCAATGGAAAGTGCAAGACAGACAATCTCATAGCCTGAAATCCAATTTGTGAATGCCAACATTTATCATAGTAAGTAGGGGTAGTTTATTATACAATCAGTAGTTCTATTGTGCTGAAATGAATGATATGATTTTTATTTTGATAATTTACCATGTTATGACTTTTGACCCACAAGAAGGTTAATCTTACTGATCACGTGCTTGTGCCAGCAATGGTGTCGTGAAACTTGTACATAAAAGCGAACCGGTGTATTATCAGCATGCATGGCTACCAGGGAGACCATGTTGAAAATGTAATTTGTTAAATTTTTGAGACAGTTATGTAGGAATGGAAGCTAAACATGCCTGATAATATTCATGAATACTTTGAGAATATCATGTTAATATAAATCTAGTACTTCAGGTATTTTGACTTAATGAGCTTTAAGATGGCTTTGCACAACTCATTTTAGATCTGCCATTAAGAACTTAATGAACACATTAGCTAATGGGGCCTTTATGCAACCAGGTCATGTCCATGAAACCCTTTCAGTTGGATTTCATTTCACATGTATCGGTCCAGTGTACTAGTACACTGAATCAATCACTGTCACTGTCACAGTTTAATCACTGTGATGATCATTTTTCAAGTATATTTTAAATTACATATTTTTTTTTTGTGGGGTGGGTGGGTGGGGGTGTTACCCAAAAGGATCTGATTGGTTTAGAATTTAGAATGTATTGATTAGAATTTTAGCCATTGCAAAAGACATTGTAATACTAAGAATTTTTAACCACTTAAAAACTATATTGAAATTTACAGACATTTCATTTATGCTCTATTGAGAAGGAGCAAGTATTAATTCCATCATTAATCTGGACCATTTTTGCATATTCTATAATTTTCTAAGGTTGTCATGCCAAGAAAAAAACAGGAAATGTCAAACTGATGAACAGAATTTCAGGATAATTTGAATGTAACTTCTGACTAATTGGTATGTCTGTGCTCACACATGAATCTAGGTGAATGACTTTTATATGCTTGAAGCATAGGTCTCATTAATATACAGGATTCCCCTGGTATGTTTGGTATTTGGTTAGATGCCTGGAGACATTGATTGCTTCGTTTCATTTGAATTTGACTGTTAATATTTTTATCAACTACACAAAGATTATTGACATTTAATATTATGCTTTAGACATTTCTGAAATGAGATCGGGTAATTGGCAGAGCTTGTGGTTTCACTTTGTGAAAAAGAAATGCAGTATTTAAACTTGGGCTATTGCATTTCTTTATAGGACCATGCTTGGAAACATTTTGGTCAAAATTAGTTGAAGGATAAAGTCACTGTTCAGGCTTTTGCAAAAAAAATTCATGTCACAAATGGCATAATTACCTTGGCATGAATTGATCAGTATTTTTGCATGTTTATCAACAAAACCTATCATATCAAATGGGAATTTCATTTATCCAAAGGCTAAAGTAATCTTTGAGGTAATGGATTAAAGTAATAGAACCATACATGTTATTCAATATGGGACAAGGACAGTCTACATTAGAGGGTTTCCTACCGTGGATTGATATTTATAAGCTAAGAAATTATTTTGGCATGCATGTAGCATAAAAATTAGCACTGGGTATATTGCTTCTTTTGTGTGGGTCCCTTCTTTGCAAAGGTCAAAAGGTCAAGCTTTTGATGACAATGTTATGTCATTTTCCGCCTCTGAGATTTCATTACTTCAACCTTCATGAAACTCGGCATGTGTTTCAATCCTCCCAGTTGAAATGTTGATGGCATATGTTTATAAAAGGTCAAGGTCATTCTTTAGGTTAATCTGGAACATGGTTCCATTCATGCCCTGTTACAGTAACTGTTAGATCCTGAGATGTCGTCTTGAATGAGATCAGTCTGGAGGTAATGTTGTGGGATTAGAAATGCATGGTGAATAGTTTATGTCATGTGTTTATGCTTGCTGGTCAATAAGTGTATTCAAAGGTTACCATGACCACCAGTTTTGCAGAACAATGACCATAATCTTGAAGTCCAACAACTGCCAGTTTTACTGAACACGTAACAGTTTCCCATTGTTTCCATACAATATTCTGATGCCACTGAACCAGAATGATGCTTGTAGGTGCCGTGAGCACGGTCAGTGGATTTAGTGAAATTTATTTGGACTCATATTATTACTTCTTGTTATTATTTATTATAATGTTCAGCATGGAGATGTGGTACATGATGTAGCAAAATGAATACTTCGAATCATTATGAGGTACCACAATGTTCAACTGTAATTATGCAAGTAGTCCTCACCTCAAGGAATTAAATTACATTTGTGAAAGTCTTCAAAATGGAAAATTAAATTTTGTGCTGTATATTGGAAAGTTGTAGAACTTTAAGAATGGCTAAAACTATTTTCGCAGAAGCGAAAAGTTCAATTATCATAAAGTTAAGTGGGCATGAGAAAGCAAATTGACATAGAACATACCGGTAAACTTTGTAAGTTGATATATAATATGATTATTTACTGAGTGTCAGCTGCAGTGATTCTGGGTTTAAGAAGGCTAAATCAGATCAGGAGTTTTTACAACCAAGGTCATACAATGTTTATAATGAGGCTCTTTCAGGCTGTCTGATAAGCCAGTGTGCAATATTTTTGCTTATAAGCTAGCTCTTTATTACTTGGCAATCAGATGACAAATCCCAAGGTTATATTGTATATGTTGATTTAACATGCCAGGGTATGTATAGTGCTGGTCTGATCCCATTGCTGATAGGGACACACTAGAGTGGCTCACAATGCAGTCTATCATGTTACAGGGTTGCTGTGAGAACTTTTTTCCAGTCTGATAGATAGCAGATTTCCAACACCTATACTCAGTGTGCCTCTACCCGGATTGATCAGGGATCCATTTATTGATTTAAAGTGTTTGATCGTCTCAAGTAGTTTGGCAAGCACCCAGCTGTGGAAGGATCAACTTATCTAGCGGGTTGTTTATTTCCAGACGTATCTTTAAGATAGGGGAGGGAACATACCTGCCGGATTATTGGGTTTAGGATCGAAACAAGGATCTCACACTCTGTCACATGAATCAATGAACTGTTGTCACCTGTACGAGTCCATCGTGTGTTGTGGGTGACATTGAAGCTGCAGTTGAGGCATGTCTTTCTGGGTACTTTACTTGTCTCTCATACACTTTGTCTTCTTACTAACTGTGTATGCATTTTGTGTTCCTCTCAGAGGTTCTGTGGGAGCCTCCAGTGGCAATGGAAAGAGGACCAAACGACCTTCTCAAAGACCTAAAGTTGCTGATTCCGACAGTCAAGACCAACTATCAGACGACTCTCTCAGAGGATCAGGTGTGTTTTCTTTTCTAAGGTCGTATATCAACAGAGGTAATATCTATTCTATACTGAAATTCTAGTTATATGTACATGGAGAGGATACTATGGTTAATATACCATTCAAAACAATTTTTCTTAAGTGGTATAAATAACATAACTGCCTTCTAGTTTAAATTATATATCATGGTACATGATGCATTACAGATATGCTGTTTTGAGATATACTGAACTATGGTTATAATGAGTGAGTTTAATTTTATGCCGCAATCAGCAGTATTCCATTTATATGACGGCGGTCTGTAAATATTCGAGTCTGGACCAGACAATCCAGTGATCAACAGCATGAGCATCGATCTGCGTGGGTCTTTTATAATGAGGTCAAAGCAACCAGTTATGTTAGTTTGTTATAACTGTAGTTCATTGTGTATATAAAGTATGTAGTAAGTGGCCAGGACCATGCAAGGAGTTTGTTATTTAGTCATTTCATCGTATGAATGTTTGTTACAAACATAGTTTACTGTAATCTCCATGTTGTCTTGAAGCTTCATTGGCACCCTGTAATCCAGCATACTTTCTGCTCTGAACGACTATTCATATTAATATAAAAAAATATTCTTTAATCATCATTTCAACCCTAATGCCTTGCAGTCATTTATAGTGTTTTTTCACATTTTAAAATGCATATTGGAAAATTAAAGAACTGATTCTGTCGACAACCCATATATGTATTTGGATAAATGATATCAAACTTTGTATATTACCTCACAGACCTACAGTTGTTGCACTTGACGTTAGTAAACATTTAGAAATTAGGATTACAAATATTGGTTATGTTTAATAAAGACATTCTAAAAAAGGTCGAATTACACACTCAGTCAAGTAAATAGAAGTGTTTAATTTTCTGCATGTTCTGGAGAATTAGTACTTAATAATTCTGCATAATAATATACATTTTAACAATTTTTTCCTCATTAAATCATAGACAGATATAATCAGTTGGTGTGTGATGTGGGAACAAGGAATGAAGGACATATTTGTTGTTTATGGTGACGAAAGAATGTGTTTGATAAGATTAATTATCAAGTGTGCAATAACTCACGCCTTAGTGAAATAAATCCCCGTTTTGGAATAATGCCAAAACCTGTGTCACCTCAGTCCAAAAGACTGCATTGTATAATTGACTGTTGGTGAGTAGCAGTGTGTGGTGTATAAAGAAACTTATAACCTGGGGAAACATGTTATATATTGTAATATGCTATCATGGTTTCATTTAACTGAAAACATCTAACTCAGATTGATCAGGAAAAAACTTCAGGGACAAAATAGTAAGTGAGTCTGTTGGGTTTATCACTGCTTTGAACAGTATTCCAGTTACATGTGTCAGGTTAATGTGGAAAGAAAGCCCGAAGTGTTGAAGGTCCCGGATGATTACGACTTTGAGCACAGTCATGGCGCTGACAAACCTAGAAACATAATTGGAAATAGAAACATATTTCAATGCCCTGTTACCTAGGGCTGTGTATCGGCAAATAAATTGTATTGCAATATGTTGCGATTCAGGTACCTGTATTGCGATATATTGGGAACTTACGTGTTTGACAGTGAGTGACACTAATCGTGCATGTCAATCCTATTTTCTACATTATAAGTTCCTAAACTTATATGTTATGGTTCTGACAACAGCAATCTCAAAATTAGGTTGAATAGTCAGGGATTCTATTTTCTTTTTTTATACAATTGATAGTATTACAGTATGCCGTTTTGTCATTGAATAACAAAGGAAAACATTTGTTGTGAATGAAAGTCAGTGTAGATTTTAATTTAAACCATAAAGATAATCACAAGAACTTCATATGTGTTCTCAGAAAAAAAATATTGCAATACATATCGTTTGATAAGCATATTGCAATATACCAGTAATACCGTGCAGTCCTACTGTTACCCATATATAATACAAGACAAGGCAAGATTATATCTACTACAGCAATAAATAAACTTTGAAATAAAGTTAAAATAACACTGACCTGAAAAAAATGTAACATTGTCATTAGCAGTTCGTCACCAGGTTTTCATGGAACAAACTAGCTGGTACCTGGCTTTAACCTACTACAGTAAAAATAGCAATAAGTTTTAGACTTGATTACTTAAACATAACATGTTATGGAGAGTCTTAAAAAATTAAATACGTGTACATACAAATTAACCTGTACTCTTTGTAGAAATATCAAGCATATCCAATGTTAGCTCATTAGGATACATCTGTGTGCCATCAAATATTTAGATAATCACTACCAATATATTATTGAATCTGATTTATGCCAATAAGTAGCTTGATAGCCAAACTGGTCAGTAAGGATGTCAAATGATCTTTAGGTTATGAACAAGTGTTCTGTATAGTTCCTAAAAAATTAATTCCAGTTGGAAACTTGAAATGGTTGCCTTGACATATAGTTACTCTGGAATTGAAATATTTCATGTCAAATTTAGGTTGACATTTCTGGCTTGTATTAAAATTGTTTGTCTTTTTTCAGCTAATCACTCAAGACAGTCCTCAAGACCTGGCTCGGGCACCAGACGCAGAAAACGCCCAGTGTCAAAGCATAGAGGGAAACACCATAGCTCAGATGAATATCAAAGTTCAGACACTGATGGTGTCTTTTCTGACGATTCACTGACTCAATCAGATGGAAAGCAACTTCCTCACCCTGAAAATAATGCAGCAACATTAGAAGAATTCTCAAACTTTACAAATTCAATGGACCAGTTGACGGCCGGCTTGGGTTCTGTGGACAATGATGGATCTCATCAGCGTGATGTGCCTGCTTTGGATTTAGGAACTGTCTTACAGAGATTTTCTCAGTCTTCACAAGATGGAGTTTTATTTCAAGGACTTGGTGACAACCTAGAGTTAGAAGCAGGAAACAGTGACAAGGACAGTGCAAATGTTGTCTCGGGTAATGGCGGCATGTCGACTGATTTCACTCAGACTGAAGGTGGGAGTGTACAGATGAGGCGGTCTCCTGTCAATATGTGGAGCTCAGAGGAAGGGGATTCTCTGTCGCCTGTACCCTCTTCTGTCCCTCAGGAACAGCTATACACTCGAGGTACGAGAGTTGCCTCCAAACGATCTAACTTGGCTGTCACACCAACTGTTGTGTGGACAAATTGTGAACAATCAGCTTTGATTGATGACTGTAAGAACACTGAAAATACAGGTGAGCCGTCATTTGTTTCTAAAACTGGACAAAAAGGTGAAAATGAAAATTCAGTGAATAGAGACAATTCAGATTCAGCAACTAAGAGTAGAAATGACAACCCAAGAAGTACTATCAAATATGAAGTCACCATCAATGAAGATAAAACAGACATTAGTTACAATGTTGAAAAAACGGAATACAGAACATATGGATTAAAACCAAAAGCTGTCTCTGGTGGACAGGTAGAAAATGCTACAGCCATTATTCCAGATAGCATCAACATCAACCTTACAGAGACCAAAACATTCCAAACAGAAGACCGTTATGAGTCGGTTACAAAAGAAAAAGTGTTGTTGCAAAAGGGTGATGGAAGTGGTAATCGTGACACAGGTGTGATTGTGACAGAGAAACTGTATGAGTCCAACCATTCACTAGAGTGTGAGGATGTTCAGCGGGACTCAAGTGTTAGCAGGGGAAGTTCAGTGGAGCGGCAGATTGTTGAAGAGGATTTCAATTCTGCTGCTTATGTCTATGAGGAAGATCCGATGCTCGGGCAAACTGAGCATGGAGCTGAAGGGAACGTGTGTTCAGAGTATGCAATAGATTCTGTGCACAGTCCCACTTCTATCTCTGAAGAAAATGTGTTGACAAACAAAGACAGTGAAGGTCCTGGAAGTTATTTAAGTGTTGTTAGTAATTCTCAAACCCTAACTGGGTCTGGTGAGAATTGTGAAATAGAAAGGGAATATTCTGATGGACCTTGTGACATAAGTGATGATAGTTTAGATGCAGTGTCTGATTCTTCTAGGGATCAGAAGACAACACTTCTGCCTGGAAGCACTGGTGCCCATGGCATCACTGAAGGTTCTCCTAGAGACCAAAGTCAGTTGGGAACATCAGGTACTGACAGTCATAGAGAACTTCCTCAGTGGCAGACAGAAACTGTGCAAGTGGGAGAGATTGAACCCTTGGACCAGAATGCTGAGGATGTGGATCTTAACCTACAGGATAGATCATATTCACCATGGGTTGTAATAGGAAGAGCATCCACAGAATATATTGATGATAATTACAGAGTGGATGCAGCACCCTACTCAAGAGAACCTATAGTTGATTTACACCTTGTTGAACAAAATGCTGTTGCCCCAAGTACAGAAAGCACCATCCATGTTCAAGAGAACAAAACATCATTTCCTGAAACCATCAAACAATCATTTATCAATTCAAGTTCAGACAAAGAATCTCTATATTTTGCTGATGGTCGTGGGGTGTTAGCTGGTATGAATGATATGACTTTGCCCTATGTTAGTGATGACACATTTGGAAGAGATGGACCCATGAAATCTTCTAATGAGACAGAGGTAAAACATCGTACAGCTTCTTTGCAGTCTTTGCCTAGCATAGGTAGAGGATCAGCAACATTCCTACAGGACATACCTGAAGACAGTTCAGATGATGAACAATCTAAGACCAAACATGTTCATGAGTGTGATTGGAAAAACAAGACAAAGGATAAAGAGAGTTCTGTCACAGGAGAATTGTCTCAAGAAGACTCTGAAAAAGTACCTATGTCTACCTCTGATCTGGATACCAAAGGTAATGTTATGGGGGACAGAAGTCACAGCAGAGATCATGTGAATTCACAACCCCAAGATGACAGTTTAAATAGTAAGAGCACAGAACAGAACTTACCTTCTTCCAGTGACCAAAGTCTTGATCATACATCCTTAAAGTTTGAAAAGAATTCCGAGGAAGATAAAGGGATGGCTGAATTGACTACAGACTTGAATAGATCCTCTCATGAGTCTGAAAGTGTTCCTTTAGTGCGGGCTGGTTGTCATAGTAGTGAAGTGACTCAAGATACTAAGATGGATGGTTCTGGTATACTGAGCACTGACTATCCCGTTAAGGATGACTTAGAACAATCATCAGTGTCTATTATTCCCCAGCTTGATGTGAATGTCATTCAAGGGAAACAGTTAGGGAGTGCAGACAGAGCGGCACCTGAAAGTAATGTTGGCATTATGCAACCATCAGTGAATGAATGCAGTGGGAATACATCTGGTGAGGCTGTATCTGTTGGTGAAAGAGAAGTGAGGACCCAAATATATAGTGGTGTGCCAACATCACCATGTCAAAATACAACTGAAGATAATCAAGTGCCTGGCATATTACTTGGAACAGATCCTATTACTGATGTGCCTGAAAATGATAATCCAATTTGCGGACAGTCCTCAACAGCAACCAAAGAGATAGACATTGTTGTATCCGACAACCGCATTATACCAGACAGTTTACCGGACAGTAGTTTCAGTGATCTTGGTGTTGGGCATGTCCCCCATGAAGTGATCAGGGAATGTCCAGCAGAATCATCTGTCACTGCACAAGACCAAATCAGTAGCCAACATCGGCAAGGTCATGTACTGCCAGACAGAACAAGCACCAAAATGTCTGATGATCTCAGAGATGACACACAAACAATGGACTTGTATGTTTCTAATGATCAGAGAAGCAGGCAACAGACTGTTGAAAAGGAAGCTGATGCTGACAGAGAAGGCATACAAAGGTGTAGTGAACTCATACCTAATGATGATGAGAAGGTTCCTGCATGTGTTGACCCAAAGGAATTGGATAATTTCAAGGATGACACACAGAAGATTGACACTCAGACAGATGCAGTGCATATATCTGATGAAGACAGGAAAGCATCTGGAGATGGTGACCTGAAACAAGCTGAATACAGGGAGGACACACAGGCACACGCTGTATTGCCATCTAATGATCACAGAAGTGAGAAGAAAGAAGCTGAAGCTCTCCGAGAAAACACACAAACAGCTTCAGTACCTGAAAATGCTGATGTTGGTCAGAAGGAATCTGGTGAATACATGGAAGACATAAAAACAGTTGATCTTTACATCGCTCAAGATCACAGGTTTGGCCGAAAGAATCTTGATCAGAAGATATCTTATGCTGACCAAGAAGCATCATCTGCTCCTGAAAGTGATGACGTTAGACAGGTTGAGCCGAAATCAGCTGATTCTCTTCAGGAAGCCCAACAAACATCTTCTGTGCAAAATATTGACGGGAAGATAGCTGATGCTCTCCAAAAAGCCAGAAAAATTTCTTCTGAAGCTGATGACAGCAGACAAGCATCTAGAGATGTTGACCAGGAGGAATCTGATGACTACAGGGAACACACAGAAACTGTGGATATTTTTGTATCTGATGATGAAAGAATTGGGCAACAGAGTAGAAAGATGGAACCTGGTACTCACCAAGAAACCACACCAGTTGTTCATATACATGATTCTGATGATGTGAGAAATGTGCCTTCAGATGTTGACCAGAAGGAGGCTGATGCTTACAGGGAACACACAGACACAATTGATTTGTTCATATCTGATGGTCAAAGACTTCAACAACAGAATGTTGATGGGAATAAAGCTGATGCTCTCCATAAAGCTGAAGAAACATCTTTTGTAACTGAAACTGATGCCAGCAGAAAAGCATCTACAGATGTTGACCAGGAGGAATCTGATGATTACAGGGAACACACAGAGACTGTGGATATCTTTGTATCTGATGATCAGAGAATTGGGCAACAGAGTAGTAGGATGGAACCTGGTACTCACCAAGAAACCACACCAGCTGTTCATGTACATGATTCTGATGATGTGAAGAATGCACCTTTAGATGTTGACCAGAAGGAGGCTGATGATTACAGGGAACACACAGAGACTGTGGATACTTTTGTATCTGATGATCAACAACAGAATGTTCATGGGAAGACAACTGATGCACCCCACAAAGCCAGAGAAACATCTTCTGAACCTGAAGCTGATGACAGCCGACAAGCATCTACAGACATTAACCAGGAGGAATCCAATGATTACAGAGAACACACAGAGACTGTGGATATTTTTGTATCGGATGATGAAAGAATTGGGCAACAGAGTAGAAAGATGGAACCTGGTACTCACCAAGAAACAAGACCAGCGGTTCATGTACATGGTTCTGATGATGTGAAAAATGTACCTTCAGATGTTGACCAGAAGGAGGCTGATGATTACAGAGAACACACAGAGACTGTGGATATTTTTGTATCTGATGATCAAAGAATTCGCCAACTGAATGATGGGAAGATAGCTGATGCTCTCCACACAGTCAGAGATACATCTCCTGTACGTGAAACTGATGCCGACAGAAAAGTATCTACAGATGTTGACCAGAAGGAAGCTGATGATTACAGGGAACACACAGAAACTGTGGATATCTTTGTATCTGATGATCAACAACAGAATGTTCATGGGAAGACAACTGATGCACCCCACAAAGCCAGAGAAACATCCTCTGTAACTGAAGCTGATGACAACACAAATGCACCAACAGATGTTGACCAACAGGAATCTGATGATTACAGGGAACACACAGAGACTGTGGATATTTTTGTATCGGATGATGAAAGAATTGGGCAACAGAGTAGAAAGATGGAACCTGGTACTCACCAAGAAACAAGACCAGCGGTTCATGTACATGGTTCTGATGATGTGAAAAATGTACCTTCAGATGTTGACCAGAAGGAGGCTGATGATTACAGGGAACACACAGAGACTGTGGATATTTTTGTATCTGATGATCAAAGAATTCGCCAACTGAATGATGGGAAGATAGCTGATGCTCTCCACACAGTCAGAGAAACATTTCCTGTATGTGAAACTGATGCCGACAGAAAAGTATCTACAGATGTTGACCAGAAGGAAGCTGATGATTACAGGGAACACACAGAAACTGTGGATATCTTTGTATCTGATGATCAACAACAGAATGTTCATTGGAAGACAACTGATGCACCCCACACAGCCAGAGAAACATCCTCTGTAACTGAAGCTGATGACAGCAGACAAGCATCTACAGACATTAACCAGGAGGATTCCAATGATTACAGAGAACACACAGAGACTGTGGATATTTTTGTATCGGATGATGAAAGAATTGGGCAACAGAGTAGAAAGATGGAACCTGGTACTCACCAAGAAACAAGACCAGGTTCATGTACATGGTTCTGATGATGTGAAAATGTACCTTCAGATGTTGACCAGAAGGAGGCTGATGATTACAGAGAACACACAGAGACTGTGGATATTTTGTATCTGATGATCAAAGAATTCGCCAACTGAATGATGGGAAGATAGCTGATGCTCTCCACACAGTCAGAGATACATCTCACCAGTATGTGAAACTGATGCCGACAGAAAAGTATCTACAGATGTTGACCAGAAGGAAGCTGATGATTACAGGAAACACACAGAAACTGTGGATATCTTTGTATCTGATGATCAACAACAGAATGTTCATGGGAAGACAACAGATGCACCCCACACAGCCAGAGAAACATCCTCTGTAACTGAAGCTGATGACAACACAAATGCACCAACAGATGTTGACCAACAGGAATCTGATGATTACAGGGAACACACAGAGACTGTGGATATTTTTGTATCGGATGATGAAAGAATTGGGCAACAGAGTAGAAAGATGGAACCTGGTACTCACCAAGAAACAAGACCAGCGGTTCATGTACATGGTTCTGATGATGTGTGAAAATGTACCTTCAGATGTTGACCAGAAGGAGGCTGATGATTACAGAGAACACACAGAGACTGTGGATATTTTTTTGTATCTGATGATCAAAGAATTCGCCAACTGAATGATGGGAAGATAGCTGATGCTCTCCACACAGTCAGAGATACATCTCCTGTACATGAAACTGATGCCGACAGAAAAGTATCTACAGATGTTGACCAGAAGGAAGCTGATGATTACAGGGAACACACAGAAACTGTGGATATCTTTGTATCTGATGATCAACAACAGAATGTTCATGGGAAGACAACTGATGCACCCCACACAGCCAGAGAAACATCCTCTGTAACTGAAGCTGATGACAACACAAATGCACCAACAGATGTTGACCAACAGGAATCTGATGATTACAGGGAACACACAGAGACTGTGGATATTTTTTTGTATCGGATGATGAAAGAATTGGGCAACAGAGTAGAAAGATGGAACCTGGTACTCACCAAGAAACCACACCAGTTGTTCATATACATGATTCTGATGATGTGAAAAATGTACCTTCAGATGTTGACCAGAAGGAGGCTGATGATTACAGGGAACACACAGAGACTGTGGATATTTTTGTATCTGATGATCAAAGAATTCAGCCAACTGAATGATGGGAAGATAGCTGATGCTCTCCACACAGTCAGAGAAACATTTCCTGCACGTGAAACTGATGCCGACAGAAAAGTATCTACAGATGTTGACCAGAAGGAAGCTGATGATAACAGGGAACACACAGAAACTGTGGATATCTTTGTATCTGATGATCAACAACAGAATGTTCATTGGAAGACAACTGATGCACCCCACACAGCCAGAGAAACATCCTCTGTAACTGAAGCTGATGACAGCAGACAAGCATCTACAGACATTAACCAGGAGGATTCCAATGATTACAGAGAACACACAGAGACTGTGGATATTTTTGTATCGGATGATGAAAGAATTGGGCAACAGAGTAGAAAGATGGAACCTGGTACTCACCAAGAAACAAGACCAGCAGTTCATGTACATGGTTCTGATGATGTGAAAAATGTACCTTCAGATGTTGACCAGAAGGAGGCTGATGACTACAGGGAACACACAGAGACTGTGGATATTTTTGTATTGGGTGATCAAAGAATTCGCCAACAGAATGATGGGAAGATAGCTGATGCTCTCCACACAGCCAAAGAAACATCTTCAGTATGTGAAACTGATGCCGACAGAAAAGTATCTACAGATGTTGACCAGAAGGAAGCTGATGATTACAGGGAACACACAGAGAAAATTGATTTGTTCATATCTGCTGATCAAAGAATTCGACAACAGAATGTTGATGGGAAGGCAGCTGATGCTCTCCACACAGCCAGAGAAACATCTTCTGTACTTGAAAGTGATGACAGCAGTAATGCATCTAGAGATGTTGACCAGGAGGAATCTGATGATTACAGGGAACACACAGAGACAATTGATTTGTTCATTTCTGCTGATCAAAGAATTCAACAACAGAATGTTCATGGGAAGACAACAGATGCTCTCCACACAGCCAGAGAAGCATCTTCTGTACCTGAAGCTGATGACAGCACTAATGCATCTAGAGATGTGGACCAAGAGGAATCTGATGATTTCAGGGAACACACAGAGACTGTGGATATATTTGTGTCTGGTAATCAAAGAATTCGACAAGATAATATTCATGGGAAGACAACTGATGCTCTCCAAACAGCCAGAGAAACATCTGTACCTGAAACTGATAACAGCAGACAAGCATCTTCAGATGTTGACCAAGAGGAATCTGATGACTACAGGGAACACACAGAGACACTTGATTTGTTCATATCTGATGATCAAAGAATTCGACAACAGAATGTTCATGGGAAGATAGCTGATGCTCTCCACACAGCCAGAGAAACATCTTCAGTACGTGAAACTGATGCCAGCAGAAAAGTATCTACAGATGTTGACCAGAAGGAAGCTGATGATTACAGGGAACACACAGAGACAGTTGATTTGTTCATATCTGCTGATCAAAGAATTCGACAGCAGAATGTTGATGAGAAGGCAGCTGATGCTCTCCACACAGCCAGAGAAACATCTGTACCTGAAACTGATGCCAGCAGACAAGCATCTTCAGATGTTGACCAAGAGGAATCTGATGATTACAGGGAACACACAGAGACAGTTGATTTGTTCATATCTGCTGATCAAAGAATTCGACAGCAGAATGTTGATGAGAAGGCAGCTGATGCTCTCCACACAGCCAGAGAAACATCTGTACCTGAAACTGATGCCAGCAGACAAGCATCTTCAGATGTTGACCAAGAGGAATCTGATGATTACAGGGAACACACAGAGACAGTTGATTTGTTCATATCTGATGATCAAAGAATTCGACAACAGAATGTTCATGGGAAGACAACTGATGCTCTCCACACAGCCAGAGAAACATCTTCTGTACATGAAACTGATGCCGGCAGAAAAGTATCTACAGATGTTGACCAGAAGGAAGCTGATGATTACAGGGAACACACAGAGACAATTGATTTGTTCATATCTGCTGATCAAAGAATTCGACAGCAGAATGTTGATGAGAAGGCAGCTGAAGCTCTCAAGACAGCCAGAGAAACATCTGTACCTGAAACTGATAACAGCAGACAAGCATCTTCAGATGTTGACCAAGAGGAATCTGATGACTACAGGGAACACACAGAGACACTTGATTTGTTCATATCTGATGATCAAAGAATTCGACAACAGAATGTTCATGGGAAGATAGCTGATGCTCTCCACACAGCCAGAGAAACATCTTCAGTACGTGAAACTGATGCCAGCAGAAAAGTATCTACAGATGTTGACCAGAAGGAAGCTGATGATTACAGGGAACACACAGAGACAATTGATTTGTTCATATCTGATGATCAAAGAATTCGACAGCAGAATGTTGATAAGGCAGCTGATGCTCTCCACAAAGCCAAAGAAACATCTTCTGTACTTGAAAGTGATGACAGCAGTAATGCATCTTCAGATGTTGACCAAAAGGAATCTGATGATTACAGGGAACACACAGAGACAATTGATTTGTTCATTTCTGCTGATCAAAGAATTCGACAACAGAATGTTCATGGGAAGACAACAGATGCTCTCCACACAGCCAGAGAATCATCTTCTGTACCTGAAGCTGATGACAGCAGTAATGCATCTAGAGATGTGGACCAAGAGGAATCTGATGATTTCAGGGAACACACAGAGACTGTGGATATATTTGTGTCTGGTAATCAAAGAATTCGACAAGAGAATGTCAATGAGAAAACAACAGATACTCCCTACAAAGCCAAAGCATCATCTCCAGTACATGAAACTGATGACAGCAGACACATGTCTACAGAATTTGGCCAGAAGGAAGCAAATGACTACAGGGAACACACAGAGACTGTGGATATTTTTGTATTGGGTGATCAAAGAATTCGCCAACAGAATGTTGATGAGAAGGCAGCTGATGCTCTCCACACAGCCAGAAAAACATCTTCTGTACCTGAAGCTGATGACAGCAGTAATGCATCTAGAGATGTTGACCAGGAGGAATCTGATGATTACAGGGAACACACAGAGACAATTGATTTGTTCATATCTGCTGATCAAAGAATTCGACAGCAGAATGTTGATGAGAAGGCAGCTGAAGCTCTCAAGACAGCCAGAGAAACATCTGTACCTGAAACTGATAACAGCAGACAAGCATCTTCAGATGTTGACCAAGAGGAATCTGATGACTACAGGGAACACACAGAGACACTTGATTTGTTCATATCTGATGATCAAAGAATTCGACAACAGAATGTTCATGGGAAGATAGCTGATGCTCTCAACACAGCCAGAGAAAAATCTTCAGTACGTGAAACTGATGCCGGCAGAAAAGTATCTAGAGATATTGACCAAAAGGAAGCTGATGATTACAGGGAACACACAGAGACAATTGATTTGTTCATATCTGATGATCAAAGAATTCGACAACAGAATGTTGATGGGAAGACAGCTGATGCTCTCCACACAGCCAGAGAAACATCTTCTGTACATGAAACTGATGCCGGCAGAAAAGTATCTACAGATGTTGACCAGAAGGAAGCTGATGATTACAGGGAACACACAGAGACAATTGATTTGTTCATATCTGATGATCAAAGAATTCGACAGCAGAATGTTGATAAGGCAGCTGATGCTCTCCACAAAGCCAGAGAAACATCTTCTGTACATGAAACTGATGCCGGCAGAAAAGTATCTAGAGATGTTGACCAGAAGGAAGCTGATGATTACAGGGAACACACAGAGACAATTGATTTGTTCATTTCTGCTGATCAAAGAATTCGACAACAGAATGTTCATGGGAAGACAACAGATGCACTCCACACAGCCAGAGAAGCATCTTCTGTACCTGAAGCTGATGACAGCACTAATGCATCTAGAGATGTGGACCAAGAGGAATCTGATGATTTCAGGGAACATACAGAGACTGTGGATATATTTGTGTCTGGTAATCAAAGAATTCGACAAGAGAATGTCAATGAGAAAACAACAGATACTCCCTTCAGAGCCAAAGCGTCATCTCCAGTACTTGGAACTGATGACAGCAGACACATGTCTACAGATGTTGACCAGAAGGAAGATGATGACTACAGGGAACACACAGAGACTGTGGATATTTTTGTATTGGGTGATCAAAGAATTCGCCAACAGAATGATGGGAAGATAGCTGATGCACCCCACAAAGCTAGAGAAACATCCTCTGTAACTGAATCTGATGACAGCACACATGCACCAACAGATGTTGACCAGGAGGAATCTGATGATTACAGGGAACACACAGAGACTGTGGATATTTTTGTATCGGATGATCAAAGAATTGGGCAACAGAGTAGAAAGATGGAACCTGGTACTCACCAAGAAACAAGACCAGCGGTTCATGTACACGGTTCTGATGATGTGAAAAATGTACCTTCAGATGTTGACCAGAAGGAGGCTGATGATTACAGAGAACACACAGAGACTGTGGATATTTTTGTATCTGATGATCAAAGAATTCGCCAACTGAATGATGGGAAGATAGCTGATGCTCTCAACACAGCCAGAGAAACATCTTCTGTACGTGAAACTGATGCCGGCAGAAAAGTATCTACAGATGTTGACCAGAAGGAAGCTGATGATTACAGGGAACACACAGACACAATTGATTTGTTCATATCTGCTGATCAAAGAATTCAACAGCAGAATGTTGATGAGAAGGCAGCTGATGCTCTCCACACAGCCAGAGAAACATTTTCTGTACTTGAAACTGATAACAGCAGACAAGCATCTTCAGATGTTGACCAAGAAGAATCTGATGACTACAGGGAACACACAGAGACTGTGGATATTTTCGTTTCTGATGATCAAAGAATTCGCCAACAGAATGATGGGAAGATAGCTGATGCTCTCCACACAGCCAGAGAAACATCCTCTGTAAATGAAATTGATGCTAGCAGAAAAGCATCTAAAGATGTTGGCCAGAAGGAAGATGATGATTACAGGGAATCCACAGAGGCAGTTGATATTTTCGTATCTGATGATCAAAGAAATCGACAACAAAATGTTGATAAGAAGATAGATGATGCTCTCCACAAAGCCAGAGAGACATCATCTGTACCTGAATCTGATGACAGCACTAAAGCACCTTCAGATGTTGACCAGGAGGAAGATGATGATTTCAGGGAACATACAGAGACTGTGGATATATTTGTGTCTGGTAATCAAAGAATTCGACAAGAGAATGTCAATGAGAAAACAACAGATACTCCCTTCAGAGCCAAAGCGTCATCTCCAGTACTTGGAACTGATGACAGCAGACACATGTCTACAGATGTTGACCAGAAGGAAGATGATGACTACAGGGAACACACAGAGACTGTGGATATTTTTGTATTGGGTGATCAAAGAATTCGCCAACAGAATGATGGGAAGATAGCTGATGCACCCCACAAAGCTAGAGAAACATCCTCTGTAACTGAATCTGATGACAGCACACATGCACCAACAGATGTTGACCAGGAGGAATCTGATGATTACAGGGAACACACAGAGACTGTGGATATTTTTGTATCGGATGATCAAAGAATTGGGCAACAGAGTAGAAAGATGGAACCTGGTACTCACCAAGAAACAAGACCAGCGGTTCATGTACACGGTTCTGATGATGTGAAAAATGTACCTTCAGATGTTGACCAGAAGGAGGCTGATGATTACAGGGAACACACAGAGACTGTGGATATTTTTGTATCTGATGATCAAAGAATTCGCCAACTGAATGATGGGAAGATAGCTGATGCTCTCAACACAGCCAGAGAAACATCTTCTGTACGTGAAACTGATGCCGGCAGAAAAGTATCTACAGATGTTGACCAGAAGGAAGCTGATGATTACAGGGAACACACAGACACAATTGATTTGTTCATATCTGCTGATCAAAGAATTCAACAGCAGAATGTTGATGAGAAGGCAGCTGATGCTCTCCACACAGCCAGAGAAACATTTTCTGTACTTGAAACTGATAACAGCAGACAAGCATCTTCAGATGTTGACCAAGAAGAATCTGATGACTACAGGGAACACACAGAGACTGTGGATATTTTCGTTTCTGATGATCAAAGAATTCGCCAACAGAATGATGGGAAGATAGCTGATGCTCTCCACACAGCCAGAGAAACATCCTCTGTAAATGAAATTGATGCTAGCAGAAAAGCATCTAAAGATGTTGGCCAGAAGGAAGATGATGATTACAGGGAATCCACAGAGGCAGTTGATATTTTCGTATCTGATGATCAAAGAAATCGACAACAAAATGTTGATAAGAAGATAGATGATGCTCTCCACAAAGCCAGAGAGACATCATCTGTACCTGAATCTGATGACAGCACTAAAGCACCTTCAGATGTTGACCAGGAGGAAGATGATGATTACATGGAAGATACAGAGACAATTGATTTGTTTCTATCCAATTATCGCAAAAGTTGGCAACAGACTGCCAAGAAGACCCCTCAATCTCACCAAAGAGACACTGTTACAGTTAATGAACATGGAGCTGAGAATGAACATCATGGTGCTGGCCAGGTAGATTCTGATGATTACAGGGAAGACACAGAGACAGTTGATTTGTTCATATCTGATGATCACAGAATTCAGCAACAGAAAGTTGATGAGAAAGAACCTGAAACCCTCTTAGCACACGCCAGAAACAGAGAGTGTGTTTGGTACTAAAAGCCACAAAGTGGGACCACATAACACTGATCACATGGATTTAAATGCAAAGTGGGAAAAGTCAGACAGTTTCTTCCCAAAAGAAAATGCACAATCACTAATGAAAAGCAAAGAAATGTCAGGAAAAGTCTCTGAGAATCCTTTTACAAATGCTGATGTGGAACAGCATGCTAACTTTACAGATTCTGCAAATGTTACCACCACTTGGATTCATGGTCAAACTGCCGGATATAGTGCAAGCCTTCAGTTAACAATGGACAATACAAATTATCCAGCTCAATTGGAAGAAAATACTGTTTCATGTTATTTGACAGATTCAGGTAGCAGTCATGGGCTTGAAAGTGCACCCTTTGAAAACGTGAAAAACAGTGATAACAATTTTCGCCAAGATGCCCCATGTGATGTTCCTTATTCTCAACATAATACTCTTCATGAAATACATGACACAAAACATGTGGATGTAAATCCCTATGATGCCACAAGTAACACCCTGTCCTTACACCAAGAGGTATCACTTGTAAGAACAGAGAAGCCCAGAGAGGATCGTGTTTCAGAATCAAGCAGTAAAATGACAAGTCCACAGATGTCAGACAGACTTTTCTCTCAAATGCCATCCACTACTCTAAAGCCTGTAATATCTGGATCAGAGCCAAGTCTGTCGGTGCATAATGCTAAAACAAAAGAGGACAGGGACATTTTAGAACTTGTTTCGAACATTGACAATATTGAAACTGAGACTGAAAGAAAAGCTTTACGTAAGGAAGTTAAAGAAGAAATTAAGAAGCTGAAATACAAGGATCAGAGTGACTCCGCCATAAGTTCTGACTACACTGACCTTGAATCTTCATCCCCAAGAAGTAGCCAAAGCAAAGAACAAGACTCACCCAAACATATCTACCAACAGCAAGTTCAAATTGGACAAACATTTCATCAAACAATGCCACATAGAGACTTCCTAAAACTAGTTGCCAAGGATGAAGAACAGGAAAGGGCCTCACTGAAAGATTCAGGAAATGTGTATGATGCAGATGAGGTAGACCAGCCGCAAGGAGAATCTTACTTATGGGAATTAAAACAGACAAGAAACAAGGCAGATGTTAAAGTGCTGCAGGCTGTGGAAACAGGTATGACAATCCAGACTCACACTGAAGATAGTCATCAAGGAGACATGGAGGGTGATTCTCATTCACTTTCAAACATAGACGTGTTGGAAAGACAAAGTTCTAGTATCAGAAATGTTCATGATCGTGAAAGTTCTGTGACAAACCAAGGGGGATATGCAATGTCGAAACAAAGGCCTCTGTCAATGTCAAATATTGCTGATCAAGAACTTCCAAATCAGTCCTTCACGCATAAATCTCTTACTCCTGCTCCCCAATTAGATGACATAGGGTCAGTTGGTGAAGTTAAAGCAAACGATGATGCAGCCCAGTTGCTAATGGCATCAGAACACTTGCCCAAATATTTAGGGTCAGAGACAGTGCAAAGATCTCTCCCAGCTAGTATAGAAGCAGTTGATAAATACAAGCAATCTGAAGAGAAAAATGAATCAGTTATCCCTGATGATAGAGATGGAAGTCACAACACAAACAGTCATGACCTTGAAGGTTTCACAAATCAACATGCTCCTGCTGAGGATAGGGACAATTCATACACATTCTCCTCACATTACCAACCAGCCACAGTGGATCCAAGTATATCAAATAGGATCACCATAAGTCATAGACATGAAGCAGACTGGCAGACTGAGAAAAGTCCTGAGAAAAGGGAGGTAATGGTTCATTCTTCACATGCAGCAGCTGGATATGATTCCCAGGGTCTTCCAAAAGCACCATCAGCTGATATTGTTGATAAATACACATCCTATGAAGGTCAGCATGTAGATTCTGTTGATAGGACAATGCAGGCATCAGAAAGTGTCGTATTGGAACTAAAGACTCCATCAATGGCTGAAAAATCATCAAGACAGATCTCTGAGGTTAATCTGCAAAATGAATGCATCACAGATTTACACAAAACTGCAAAACAAAACATTGGACACAGTTCTACACAATCTCAACCTTTTCAAGATCTTATTGAACCCCCAAATAACTGGCGGTCAGTGTCAACGCAGGTATATTCATCTCCACTGATGTCACAAAGTTCTCAAGGAGATCATTTGTCTCTCCCAAGCATTCATCATGTTTCTCAGTGGAGTCAGACTTGCATTTCTAATGAGGGTAGTACTCAGACAGATCACGTGGGAATTAATGTAACTTCAGCTGGAATTCAAACAGATGAAGAGAAAGTTACTCCTCATGTCAGCATGAAGTCACAAACATCACAGACTATTGAGACTCTGTATGGAAATCAAGCACCTCCTACATCAAGATATATGGCAAGCAGAGCCATGAGGGCGTCAACCACCACACCAACTACCCCCAGACGTAGGCGACCAGCATCGAGACTTTTCGTCAGATGAAGAATACATCCTGACCAGGAGGGATTCAGGATTTAGCTCTCTGGCAAATTCCCCATCTGTTATCTCATTTGCATCAAACAGAAGCTACCTTTCCAGTGTGTCAACACAGACAGAAAGCCAAGTTATCCATAGGTCTAGCTCAGCAAGTCAAACACTCAACAGAAATCATCCACATCTTGATAATGACAGTTCTGTGAGACATGGACAGATTTCCAGTATATTGTATACAGGTAATGAAGAACACAGGCAGACATTGTCCCCAGGTGTGAGTCAGAACACAGATGCCTCTTCACTTGGTCAAATTCAAAGACAATATCAGAATGAGAGATTGTGTGATGCATCTGCACAAACTGATTCCTCTTCTGGTGGTAGGATGACCAACTCTGAAACCCAGACCATATCTGTTTATCCTTTAATGCCAAAAGGCACAGAAAGTGCTGATCAGTACCATGCAAGTGGATACCAACAACAGCATTCAGGGGAAGGAACATTAGGTCTTGTTAACTATGGATCAGTTGAAGGTTTGTCATTAAGGTCATCACAAAAATATGGCATGACAGAAACACACAGCCAAACTGATGCTAGACCACATTCAGTCCATACCGAAACAGATAGCATATCAGTAACCCAGCTTGGTCAAGTCATGTCTGACAACAGGATGGACAGTTTGGAAGGAGGCTTACCTATACTCTCAGAAGCCCACACCCAGCTAACAAGCAGTGCACAAACAGATTCAGAAATCTTCCTCCCCAGGGATGAGGAGGGTAATGGGAAGGTCCAACAATCTACAATGCATGATGCCTCTGTATCTGCTGACTTCGCACATTATGAATTCTTCATTTCAAGTGATGACAATGGTGTGGGACAAGAGGTTCAACCATGTTCTCAGAAGTTCAACCATGTTCTCAGAAGGGGACAGGCAGCTAACAAGAAGTGCTCAAACAGATTCAGAATTCTTCATTTCAAGTGATGACAATGGTGATGGGAGAGCCCCACAATCTACAGTGCAGGATGCCTCTGTATCTGCTGACTTCACACATTATGACAGTGTGACAAGAGGTTCAACCATGTTCTCAGAAGTGGACAGGCAGCTAACAAGAAGTGCTCAAACAGATTCAGAATTCTTCATTTCCAGTGATGACAATGGTGATGTGAGAGTCCCACAATCTACAGTACAGGATGCATCTGTGTCTGCAGACTTTACACATTATGACAGTGTGACAAGAGGTTCAACCATGTTCTCAGAGGTGGACAGGCAGCAAACAAGAAGTGCTCAAACAGATTCAGAATTCTTCATTTCCAGTGATGACAATGGTGATGGGAGAGTCCCACAATCTGCAGTGCAGGATGCATCTGTGTCTGCAGACTTCACAGATTATGACAGTGTGACAAGAGGTTCAACCATGTTCTCAGAGGTGGACAGCCAGCTATCAAGAAGTGCTCAAACAGATTCAGAATTGTTTGTCTCCAGTAATGACAATGGTGATGGGAGAGTCCCACAATCTGCAGTGCAGGATGTGTCTGTGTCTACTGACTTTACAGATTATGACAGTGTGACAAGAGGTTCAAATATGTTCTCAGAGGCAGACAGCAAGCTATCAAGAAGTGCTCAAACAGATTCAGAAATCTTCCTCTCCTGGGATGAGGAGGGTGATGGGAAGGTCCAACAATCTAAAATGCAAGATGCCTCTGTATCTGCAGACTTCACAGATTATGACAGTGTGACAAGAGGTTCAACCATGTTCTCAGAGGTGGACAGCCAGCTATCAAGAAGTGCTCAAACAGATTCAGAATGGTTTGTCTCCAGTGATGACGATGGTGATGGTAAAGTCCAACAATCTGCAGTGCAGGATGTGTCTGTGTCTGCAGACCTTACAGATTATGTTGGTGTTGGTGTACAAACTGATGACAAACAGGAATCATCATTCACGGAGATGATACCACACTTGAAACAGTTCCCACATACTGTTACAAAGGACAGTATCAGAAATCAACATAATGAACATCAATCAGTTGAAACTCAACAAAATAGGGAACATGCTATACCAGACTTAAGCTCAACCAGTGTTTGGGCTCAAACAAAAGAGGATGATTCTCAAAAGGAGAAGTCATTTGAGACAAGAACCAGTGTTCAAACAGAGAGTGATATATATGGCACTGATAGATTTGGAAGTTCTGAATATAGGATTTCCCTGAACAAGAAAAGTGAATCAGATATTGCTAATGTTTCAAGTTCAGGACCTGTTTATCATCATGAGGTGACATCATCAGTATCAAGAAGCCTAAAACTAACTGAAGCAAGTAATTTAGATCCTTCGCTTCAAACAAATCCTGGTTCATATACAGATGAGGAATCTCCTCAAGATCATGTGAGTGATAGGACTTCCATAAGAAATATACAGAGTGATGCATTGTCTCTTCCACCTGTGCTAACATCTGTAGGCAAAGATATTGATGGGCTAAGAAGAGAACATTCACGGATGATGGAACTTCTGGAACGTTCACGGGAAAAGTCCACAACTCTGTCACCAAAATCAAAAGGGTCCCCACCATCCTCCTCCTCAAGTAGTATGTCCCCAGTTACAGTCATTGAACAAGGTGGTTCCAACAATGGCAGCTTGGAAGGCAGTCCACCAGAGACTCAGAGAGATAGACCAGCACACACTGATCAGCAAGACTCACAACTGAACCGAGAAGAAATACTGAAGTCATTAGAAGTTGAGGACCTTACTCTAAGAATTGGAACTGCAACTGAACAAGCCTGTAAGAGTCCAAGTAACAGCTTTGAACATGAAAATCAAAAAGAAGGTTTCTTGCCATCATCTGATTCTGCAGATCAGAATTTTGATACCACAACACTGATGAGCAAGAATAAAAGCAGTGAAAAGGACAGTGAAGACAAACAGTCAAATATGACAGAATCAAAAACCATGAGTGCTAGCATGTGTGAAACAACTCAAACAACTGAACCTGTTTCAGTAAATGACTGCTCACAGACTCCACATCCACGTGCAAGTGCAACACAGACATCCCATAGATTTGATTATGTGAACAACCTGAGCCCTCCTCAGATTCATATTAATATAAATGATGAGGATGTTGTTGAAGACATTCTCAGTGACAACTCTACTACGCCCTGTATGTCACCATCAACTGTGCCAGAGATAATTGATGACAATAGCTATGTGTCGCCCAGTGGTAATCCATCACACACCATGACCAGATCAAGCAGGAGATACGTGAGCACAGGAGTGGAGGCATGTGTAGATAGTTCCGATGAATTCACACAGACGGATTATGAAGATTCCACCTTGGACTCGAGCTTTAGCAGTGACAAATATCGTCAGACTTCTGTGAAGTCAACATCAACTGACTCTGTCAGAATTCAGTCAGAACTAGAAAGACTTGAAAGGGAACGAATAGAAATCATTGAGCTGCTATCGCTGAATTACTTGCCCTCGAGCCTCACTGTGGAGCTACTGGAAGCAAAGATGAACTATTGTATTGGACAGACAGATATGTTACTTGCCTCTCTGGAAGATTCATGGGATAAAGAATATACTGAACTAACATCAAGTAATGCTGGGCTAAGTAGAGTCACCAAAGAATATGTTTCCAACTACAGACAGCAATTCAAAGAGTCCAGACGGGAAATGGCAGCTGCTATTGAAACAAAGCAGCGTCTGAAATCTCGAGGCAGAGGAAGGAGGAAGGCTAGAAACAGTGACATTCTAAAGATGAAAAGGAGAGCTGAGATTGAGTCATTCAAACTGGAGAGATTACGGGAACAAGAAATGCATCAGAGAACTCGTAGTTACAGTCCTCTAAAGCAATATGTACCTGCGGCCACAGGGAGAGGACGGAGTTCTCCAGGATCTGAACAGTCTTCACAGGAATTTAAGTATATGACACCCAAGCAGCGCAAGAAGCACCTTGTCAGCCTCAGGAAGAAGATAGTAGCGGAGTCGGAGGATGAACTTCATCACCTCAGATCAAGATCAGTGTCACCAATATCAGACTACTACTTGACTGAATCCCGGTACTCACTGAATTCCTCCAGAGAATCCAGCTTCTCCCCCGACAGAACACTTTCCCCTCAAATGTACAATCACCATGGCTACAGTACACATGGAACAAATGAATCAAGGGACATTTATATGGAGTCAATGTACAGACCCCACAGTACAGGTTCCATCTACAACCACTACAGTGTCGACCGTCCCCCTTCTCGGAGCGTGTCTGCAGCCCAGATCATGTCGAACGGCGTTGACCCTGATCAGATGATACAGGAGACTGCCATCATCAGACAGCTGAACCAGAGGCAGATTCTGGAGGCACAGTCTTCACTGAGGCAACTGGAAGCCAGGCAGAGGCTGATGTCAATGCCCATGACCAGGTGTGTAGTAGGGAAATATAGACGTTATACCTTTGTTATTTGTTTCATTATGATTCACTCAGCAGTATTCCAGGTATATGGCTGTGGTCTGTAAATGAATACATCTAGACCCCAAAATATAGTGATTAAAATATAGTGTTAAATATCATAAGCAGCAATCTATGCAACCATATACCATGACAATGGACCAGACAATACAGGTATTAATATCATGAGCATCAATATACACAACTGGGTTACTAGCACATGTATCAGCCAAGTAAATTTGGACCAGACAATACAGTGGTTAATATCATAAGCATCAATATACACACTTGGGGTACAAGCACATGTATCAGCCAAGTAAATCTGGACCAGACAATACTGTGATTAATATCATGAGCATCTGGGCTACAAGCATAATGTATGGGTTGCTGAAGGCCAGTGCTGCTCTGGGATCTTCATGGTTTATATGTAATTATATTTTGAGGTCGAAGTTTTTCTTTGTGTTCAGACTGTAAAATTGTGTATGGGTATCATTTCAGCTCACCCGTTCCTCATCAGCTTCCTTTTCTGCATCGAATGCACCACGGAGAGCTAGCAGTAACAACATGAACATCACACAGGAGGTAGTACAATTGTACAATTTATACAAAGATTCTTGCAGAATTCTCATTATGTATGGATATACTTTCTTTGATTTGATATTTTGTTATATTTCCCCAATAGCCTAAAAAATTGTCATAAGGATTAGCATGTCAGTGGAAACATTTATTCACTAACTTATATTTTGTGTTAGTAATAATTGAGAATATATGGTAAATGTTTGAATAAATCTTATTGTGTTATCAGGCTATAGATGATGAAATCCAGAGTATGAGAGAGGAACACAGTCGATCCTCAGGCAGTCCTGATCTGATGGAAACCAGCTCTCGGTAAGCTGCCAGATTCTCTATGGCTTCACTGTCTGTTTGTTAAACTTCTGCATGCTTACTACTACTACTACTACTACTACCACTACTACTACTACTACTACTACTACTACTACTACTACTACTACTACTACTACTACTACTACTACTACTACTACTACTACTACTACTACTACTACTACTACTACTACTACTACTACTACTACTACTACCACTGCTACTTACCAGTGAAGATCTTGGTTAGAATTGATCTTCATTAACCCATGCTTGTCGTAAGAGGTGACTAATGGGATCGGGTGGTCAGGCTTGCTGACTTGGTTGACCCACATGTCATTGTATCCCATTTGCATAGATCGATGCTCATGATGTTGATCACTTGATTGTCTGGTCCAGACTTGATTATCTGCAGAACACTGACATAGCTGGAAGCGCTGCATTAAACAACAAACTAATACTAATACTGATTAATCATGTGTATTTGTTTAAGCACTAGCCTCCATATATGTTGCTATAACTGGTATGCATGACAGTCACAAAACTGTGACTTGAACGCATTAAGTTTGAGTTTTATGCTCAGGGACAGTTTGTTCCATATAATTCTGGGGCAGTATCACTTGATGATTTCTTTTCATAATTTGTGATGTAGTAATGCTACCTTGTAACCAGCTACAACATGTAGCTTGTGTGATGCTGAATGGATTATACTTATTTGTAAGGCTCAAAGAGGAGATGGCATATGATACTTTGTGCAAAAGTGGACTCACTGCCTTTCTAGGGAAGGGAGGTAACTCTAAATGTAATTCATTGACAGTTTCTGAAAGTTACACAGAGCATAATTGTATTTTCCTTTTAGATTACTGTCATATCTAACAAACACCATATTCAGATAATGTTAACTTTAACTAAGAGGATAGATAATAGAAATCATAATTTGTCTCATGTTATTAAAAATAACTCACTCTTCAAACTCTTTCAGAAAATCAGAAGTAACATAACAAGGCATAGCAAGGAGAGATTTAATGTTTGATTAATTAACTTTGATACTTCAGATACCTAATAAAATTATAACACATTCTACAACTTGTATCCTTCATAAGCTAAATTGATGCTGAAGTTGGAACTTTCACATGTTTGATATGAGACTCTACAATGAAAGTATTCCAGTTATATCACAGCTTTTTTGTTAGATCTGGGAGGAACACCTGAAGTGATGCAGGTCTCAGACATTTTATGTTGGTAAAACCATGATCATGGTAGCAGTGAGGCAAATCTAGAAACATGTAGGACAAACCAGGATTCAAACTAAGACCATCAATTTCCTGTGTGCCCAAGGGAGGCAACTCTGCACAGGGAAGTAAAACGATATATGTATAAAGCATTTGAGATTGTGTTTCACATTAACTGAAATACAGCCACCATTTGTTTTTGCTAGTTTGTCAGTAGACAAGTAATGTCAGCGGTGTGTTACCATGTATTGCTAGTCAACATTGTCTTCATGATCAGGGGCGGATCCAGGAGTTTGGAGAAGGGGGTGCACATTAATCATAAAATCCAAAGGTTAGGGGGAAATGCCCCTTAGGGAAAACTTTTTTGAGAGAGAGGGGGAGGGTGCAATTGAAACAAACAAAATGCTGATTTGCTGTTGATAAATCAATTTACTGTAATAAATTTAGATAAATTAAATTACTTAAATTTCACAGCCCTAAACAGGTGTTTTCTGGCCATTCCAGATATGACTCCCAGTATGCATCACTGCAGTCCTCCTTCAGTAGCTATGCTGCCTATGCCAGGGACCACCTGGCACGCAGTGAGCGGAGGATCCAGACAATCATCCACCAGGTCCCGGTCTGTCCACCATCACCTCGTATCTCACCCTGGGACAATCAGGGTAGCCGGCGCGAGTCTCTCTCCCCCGGCCCGTCCGTAGTCAGTGACCTTCATGCCTCGACGGAGTCCCTGGCAGAGTCTTCCTCCACCAGCTACATGTCCTTCACTTCCAACATCTCCACCAGCGATGAGAACAGGTACTCTCGGAGCCGACCAATCAGTTCCAGAGATGTCAAAGCCAGGATTTCAAGGCGGGTCAGGAGATGAAAAGACTGATTCAAATGTCAACCAAATGAATGTCAAAGTTGGATACTGTTTTTTTAAACAAATTTATTTGTTCAATCATAGCTTACCTGTGATAAACACTTCCCACTTGTGCCAAATGAACTAATGATATTTGTTGTGTAATTTGATGAGTGCAAATACCACAGTATGCCAGGGCCTGTATCTGGATACCTCAACACGACATCGCCTATTTATTCTACCTTTCTGGCCTCTAGCGTCCGACAGTATTTGCCGTATCTTTGGATGTGGTGCAAGTTCTAAGTCACCTCACCGATGACAGCAGTCATAACAAAGAACACTCTGTGTGAAATGAACATGTCTGCCAAAGATAGGAGTAGTCTCCAGGAAAACGCTATGTGTTGGTTTAACTGGAGATGTTTGATATTGAATCACGATTCCCTCCATAGAGATAGCTGTGCAGAATGGCACATAGAGTCTTAGCTATTTACAAAGGTCATTCTTAGTATTATTTATAAGGTTTATATGATTTTTTTGTTGATAAATACTTATAACCAAAGCGAATTGTGATATGTGTGAATGAGGAAAACGTCTCATGTTATATTACAATCATACTGATATATGTACATCATGTGTCTCGTAATCCCCCACATCAGAATTAGATCATATAGTCATGAAATGCATGTAGTATTGTTATATATATTTAGAAAACAGTTGTGTAGAGGAACGTGTTAGAATCTTACAGACGAAGTCAAACCCTGTACCTGTGCCTTGAGACAAAAGTTTCTACTGGCTATATGTATTCAAGCCTTTGTTATTGGGGTTTCGACACGATTGAACAATCCCTGAATTGCAGGATGAATTGACATTTTATAGCTTTTTTATCGTAGAACAGAATTTCTACTCTTGTTTATTATTGTTGCATGTTGTATTTGTTGGTCATACAGTGTCATGTTTTTGTTGTAGTTTTTGCTGGTTACATGAGACTAGGCAGTATTACAAGTAGATTCGAATTCATTATCCTGTTCCGTGTTTGTCGTAACGTGTATGACTCATTTTGTATGATATCATATAATTTATTGTGAGTGACAAAAATTCTAGTTATCAGTTTATGATACTATGGCTATGTAAAGTTTTCAGCTCTCATTCTGGATATCATGAAATTTGCCTATTAATTAGAGAATGGTTGAATCGCACACAATTTGTTTAACGGATGTCTTCACACACAGCACATTTCCATGATATTATGTCAAAAAGCACTGATTTTGTTGTTGTAATTATTACTTTTTTATGTTCATGCCATCACTTCATTTTCAAAACATTGTAATTAATTCTTATTTTGTAAATACGTGTTTCCTCATAAACTATATTTTCATAAACTTCAGTGGTCGTGTTGTTCATGAGTTTAGCCATCTTAGTAGGTCATTTTGCATCATGTAATACTTATTTATGTTGTACACCTAGAGTTGTGTCTCTTGGGCATGCCCAAACCTATGATTGGGGGGTTGAATCCTGTTATGTTTAGGGTTTGTCAGCACCATAATGATGCATGTGGGTGTCACCAAACTGGTAAACCATTAAGACCTGCATCACTTTGGCATTCTTCCATCAAGCTGTGATGCTTTGATATAACTATAATGTTTGGGCAGTGGGGTAGCCTAGTGGTTAAAGCGTTCACTCATCACGCCAAAGACCCGGGTTCGATTCCCCATATAAGTACAATGTGTGAAGCCCATTTCTGGTGTCTCCTGCCGTGATGTTGCTGGAATATTACTAACAGTGGCGTAAAACTACTCACTCACTCACTCACTCACTCACTCTCTATATATAATGTTATCAAAACAGCATTAAACCCATCTCACTCACTCCCTCACAACAGCTGAATCCTTCAGCACACTTCACAGAAGGAAAACAGTAATGGCTGAAGTTCTAATGTCCTGAGCGTGTGTAACACCCAGGGCAATCCCACAAATCGATTGTAGTGCTGAAATGATCTGATATCCCATACTTTAACATAGACTGAAGATAGTCCCAGTGATCGCTTTGTGGAAAGGTGCCTCGGTCTCAAAATCTTCGCATTTTTGTGTGGGTCAAGCAGACAAGGCTGTTCTTTTTCTTTGCATCTTGTTAGTTGGTCCTGATAGTTGGAATATGCATATCTCCTTTGTGATACAGTTGTATTACTGACTTCAGTGTTTGTACTCATGTTTACCGCGTGCAAATTCTATATCAGGATATTTATTTGAGGTTAAAACATAAGGACCCTTGCCATTTGTCCACATGTTAATGGATCCAGTTGATGTTGCCATAGCATGAAACAGTTTTAATCTTCTGGTCTATGTGTAGCAGTCAGTACCTGATCTTTATGTTAGTGGGAACCAGTTGATACTATTGCGTGAAGCTGTTTTAATCTTCTGGACATTGTGTAGCTGCCAAGGCCAGTTATGTTAAAGTGATCAGTATTTTTAAAAAACCCAAAAAAAACCATCTAATCTCAATTTAGGAATTTACAGGTTTCCATGGTTCATTGAAACCCCATGATGTTAAATATTAAACTTTTCATTAATATTGAACATAACATTATCAATGGAAAATGTATGTAAGCGATTGTTAAGAAGGGCTTTAAGACTAAATCTTGACAGATTATCAAATAAACAAACTGCACTTTAGTCATGGAAACTACATAATGCCATCCACTGCTTCTTGATTGCATTCCAGAGTCATGTAATTGTCTCACAGCCAAACATACATTTGAAAATAGTGGCATTGACTAGTGCAGATATCTTTAAAGTTACTTTTCAATAGACGTGTGTGCACTCAAATTTGCCATCATTTGTTGTCTGGAGATCACAACATTTCTTGTGCATTGATTACACAATAACAGACAAACTTTAAACCACTGATGTCTATCAACTGAGTAAATAGATGTTCTGATTGCAAATTCGATAAGATCTGTTTTTGAGATGTCATAAAATACTTTGGTTGTGATTATTATGATCAGAGTATAAAAAAAGGAAAATGAACTGAACTGTTTGCAAGAGGACATGAGTTCATTTATATATGACACATTTTTATGGATAACAACTTCTTTTTATTCTTTATACGATGTTTCAGAACTAATACTTGCTTCTTCATCAAGTGATGCAAGATGCAAGAATTAGCTCTGAAACATTGCATAATGAATACAAACATCATGTTTGTCAAACTTGTAAATGCCTTTCAAGAACTTCAAGAGTTCATTAACTTAACTTATATGTTTATGTACGTTCAGTTTCTGATGGAGAGACTGCAACACTACAAAACTGGCATACCTCTCTGCTGAATTGTCTCCCTTTAACCTGATCACGCTTGACACAAGTGAACACACACACACAAAAAACCACAGTCACAAATTATGTTCAAATTATAGTTCAGTTAGTCTTAGAACACATGCTTTCACTTCCTTTTGATGTAATTATTGATGATATAAACTATTAGATATTGATATGACATTATGTATCTGATATGGGTTTTTCAATCACCAACAAAGCACTGGAGTAAAGGTCAAATATATATCATGTTGAGTTCTCTGGGCATGTATTTTGTTAATGAGAATTGCAAACTACCTGATCACTGACCATAATTAACACCCATTGTAATTTGAAAAAAAATTGACTCTAATTATATTTCAGGTCAAAATTTACAATTGCATGAATGTTTTAATCAATCAGGTTCTCTACTGTAAGGTTGAATGAAAGACTTACCTTGAAGCACAAGTTTCTAGAAAGAGTTTGAATAATTAAACAAACAATTGGAGATAATATTTTTAAATATATACCCAATACACTCAAAGGATGGGTCTGCAGTTCATTGGCTGACACCTATACATGAATCCTCTTTTATAACAGAATTCCTCTCATTATGTGGACAACAGATTGTTAAAGACATTTACCGTATTTCCTCTATTAGACACAGGGACTCAAATACACACTGGCCTCTATTGGATGCCACATCAAACGCTCTGTCCTGATAAACAAGCCTGTCACAATAAACATAAACAACATACAGTAGTAAGTTGAATTGTGCAACAGAACAGATGCCTGGTCAATTACTTGTGCAAAATTAACAGATGCCTTTTCTTCTTTTAGAGGAAATATGGTAAGATGCTTTGTGTCAGGTGTTTAGAGTCAGCACTACCTTCAGGTGCAGCAGAATGAACGTACTACGGTATAAAAAGAATCTCACCCAAGTGTCTACTGATATCAATTATATCAACACGAGTTGATAAAGTTACAAATATCTGAATGTTGATATAGTAAGTGTTATCTGAGTGTTGATATACATGATATCAGTAGACACTTGGTTGAGATTCTATTTATCATAAAAGTCACTCCTCATTAGTTTTCAGTAAAAAATGTGCATCTCTGAACATGGTACTACCATTAGACTTGCAGTGCAGCGATGTCATAGCATTGTGACGCCATCAAGTTCATGACGTCATAGCATTGTCAGGGCATTGTACAAGATCTAGTGGCAGGAGATATCGTTTGGTTTCACACAAGCAATATCTCCAGTGGAACACAATTTTGGATGATAAATAACTATACCTCTCCTCTCTTTTCTTGAAAGTTGTCAGTATGTAATTATATTCACCCAGCATGTCATACATGTACAATAATGTGTGTTCCATGATAATACACAATATGAACTTGAATGAAATACAGAATAAAATAGAGTTAAGTTAGGATCCACTATAGGACACAGAAGATATTTTGATACCAATTAAGGATTTAGTTTTCATTAACAATTTTCAGTAACAATATTCAGTAAAGAGTCACTTTTATAATTTACACACTTGGGTACCGTAGAATGCTTTGCTCAAAAGTTAACATGTGAATTTAAATTCAGCAGAAGAGAGAACTTTGCAGAAAGATCAAAAGTGGGGTATACCATTATTTATCAGGGAGTATTCTTAGTGGGAGAGTATCAGTTGTTTTGGCCATTTCAAAACAACATGAACAATAAATGTCCCTTTGCCCACATTCAGTTAATTATCTTGCTATATTGAAAGACTGCAGAGCTTGTGTTCCTTCATAGAGAATCATCACACAGATGCAGATAAATATGTTTATATTAATCACACTTATAACAAACTGGCGAAGATAACTAACTAATTATGGGTCCTGGCCACCAGCTGTATACTTTAGATGAAATGTATGTAACAAAGTATGGTTATATCAGACTAGAATCAGTGGTCCATTTGAGTTGGTTATAGCCATAGTATTCTGTATATCAGGCAGATGAATCTTAAAGAAGCCATGTAGACACACTTTGTGGAATACTCAAGGCTCGTCATATTCACTGCATCCCCTCAGTCTATCACACAAAAGCATGCCATCCACCCAGTGACCAGTCCCATGGAAGCCTATGGTATACTGACACATTTAGCACCTGGTCCAAGTCAAGGTTCCAGCATTAACCCAGATCTATTCTGATTGTGACCTTTACAGATGTGTAGTGCCCTGCATGCATGATCCATGATTCTGTTGAAACCGTTTCATAAATGCCAGGGTTTAGGAATATTGGGAAATCAACAAACAACATAACACTAAGTATTATCCAATGTATGTGTATTCAAGCTCAGTAGTAAAGGCTATTGTGACAGCACAATATGGTGGAATAATGCTAAGTGTTGAATGCTATCTGACAGGTACTAAAAAGTAATTTAGTAGAAGTGAATGTTCTGTACACAGGTTCCATCTTTGTTCTGTCTGTGTCAAGAAAGCCGAGCTATATAATGTTCAGAGAAAGGCTTTGGTTGTAGTTTTTGGATGGTAGGTGCCCAAGTTACACTGTTAATATTCCTGCAAGCCACATGTGTTATCTCGAATTCTTTGCATACTTCTACTGTATTGGTGGTGTTATTTGATCTTATAAATGTAACAGTGACTGAGTGAGTTGGGGTTTACACCGCTTTTAATAATATTCCAGCAATATCACTGTGAGGGACACCAGAAATGGACTTCACACATTGTACTCATGTGGGGATTCGAACCCAGGCCTGCGGCGTGACGAGCAAGCAGTTTAACCACTAGGCTACCCCATTGCTCCTCTACAAATGTAACATGCTCTTCATGGTGGACTGTTCCATTTTTTAAGTCTGTGAACTGAAAGCCCATCTTTAACGTCTGAAAATCTCCAGCAGTATCTAAATGTGAAAACCCACAGCTGCCACACTGTGAACAGCCAAACAGTAGTTTCAGGTGAAAACAGACTCTTGGTCGGACTATGAACAGACCCCCAGCAGTGTCACAATAAACACCCACAGTTTGACCATGAATTGCCTCACAGTTTTCTCACCACGAACAGAGACTGCCTAGCAGTGTTCTTATCATGAACA